TATATCTATGTTAGGTGGGTACTGGTATGCTGTACCTGTTCATCTATTCAAAGCTACAACTGGTTATTGACCTTTTTGTGTTTTTGTAACAACTAATTTTATTTTAGTTTTTATTTTAATGAAACAAAACCCTACATGCTAATTACCAATGTATGTATAGATGAGTATACAGGTATACCCACACTCCTAAGAGGTGCCACAGTACATTAAGAAAAACTAAATCAAATGAAGCAAGTTTTTTTTTATTATCAATTTTGTTTTATTATCTTTTTATGCAGAAACAACAGAACCATAATGACCAAACGGGGGGAAGCTGATGGTGGTACGGAAGTGCGCTTGACTATGATGGTGTTAATCCATCCTAACCCTTTATTTCACGGTGCTACTATAGTGTGCTGTCTACAAAGATATCTTTATTCTAACCTAACCTAACCTAACCAAACCTGACTTAACCTAAATATCTTGTAGACCGCACGCTATAGTAGCACCGTGAAATAAATGGTTAGGTTAGGTCTCTGGCAAATTATCAGATAAGTTTCTAAATGAATTACTTTAAAACAATTCCGGAGCTTGTGTCATCTTCAACTGCAACGAGATTTATATTACTCCACCTTAATGTATATCTACCTTGATTAATGTCTCTATATACAAAGAAACACACAAGAAAAGCGAATAAAACCACATCTTTATAATATACTGAAAGGAGATAAGATACCTCTGAAACCTCATCATAAATAAATAGCAACTTACTTTTGGAGTTTTAAGGCAAACAAATATTCCTAGAACTGGAAATTTGTCTTAGTATTCTTCGTATGATATTCATGTATCTAATTTCGTGCGTAAATTGAACACAGTTAGTTCAAAAACAGTGTATAGTGAAATAATTACCCGCGACAACACTGTGCACCTTCTGATAACACTAAAGAAAACAAACTGAGGCGTCCCAAAAATAAGTTCACAGATGTACCATAGGTTCACTATAGTTCATGAAGTCAGCATTTAGTAAAGTCAACGAAGGTGAATCTCACTAATACATACCTAATTTCTCAAATTTTATTAAATTTATATATTCTAACGTATAATAATATAAACTGCATGCTTGCAGAAAGTGATGTATTATGTACTACATATTTGACGCAGCTGTCATTGAGCAGACTCCTAAGGACTGGTCCCCTGTTGTTGTAAAGTCAGGCAACAGGTATCACCTTGAGAACAACACTATCGAGTGGCTAATGATAATAGTATTACTGTATTAAAAAAATTATATATATATATATATATATATATATATATATATATATATATATATATATATATATATATATATATATATATATATATATATATATATATGCTGATAACCACAAGGAAAGAAAAAAACACGAAGTTCCCAAGCGCTTTCGTGTAATTCACATCTTCAGGGGTGAGTACATCTGTACTCACCCCTGAAGATGTGAATTAGTATCATCATTGGGTATGACTTTGCTTGGGAGATTGGTATCCCCGCATCTCCTGAGCAACGCTCTTGTGCATTATGCAGAAGACCCGACAGCAGCACCCTTATCCACTACCTCCTAAGATGTCCCCACACACAACGCCTGCTGGACCACCACTCCCCGACCCCCTGACGGAGACACGATGATCCTCCCCATACTGGCCAGATATTTTGTAAATAACATTGATTATGTGTTAAAGGAATATCCTTCCTTCCTAAGGCTTTAGTAAGCCCCTTTATAATATTTATACTGTATATACTTGTCACACTTGCCAGATGCTTCTAGTGTCATTGTACAGGGGTACCTAGTGACAGCACGAGGATCCAGCTTCCTCTATCAAGGAATAAACAATTGAAATTGAAATTGAATATACACACAGTAGACTATGCATGTATACAGATCAGATAGTGTGTATTCAACGCAGGTTTCAAATGTATAACTGAAAACTAGGGAATTGCAGCATCTCGAAGGTACCATCAAGATGGATTCATTTTTTAAATTCAATACATCAGTAGCAGGTTAAGATATTTGTACCATTTGAATAGCTTTAGGAATAGGACTAACAAACCCTTCACACACTGGTGGTGGTGGGTCGGCAGTTTTGAGAGGTCTAAGCTATATAAACTGAAAAATATATGAACTATCAGATACCACAACAAACAAAATTTTAGTTTGGCACACGCCTGTGTTTAGATATCCAAACTATGTGATTTCTGACAGATATGAAGGTCCAAAAAGTTCAAAACACAACAAAAACCACCAAAAAAAACCCAGTTTGGACATCTAACCTAACCTAACATAATCTAATCTAAGCAAAAACACACACCTCCTCCTGTCAGTGTCACTATATGTATGTAACTTACTAATTTGTCTTCAGGCGTTGCAGGTTCTGTAAATTCAGGGTCGCAAAGGTTTAGTTACAGATACACAGTTGTTAATGTTCATGTTTTTTGTTGTTGTTTTAATAATAATAATAATTCATAATAAATAAAATTTATAATAAAAATAAAATAATAAAACAATAATAACTGTAATAATAATAATACTAAAGAACCATAAATAAAAAATAAAAAAAAATAAAAAGTGAGAAACAATATACAGCTACGTATGTTGTGTTGTCAATAGTAAGAGAAACAATTGAGACCCTGCAATTGTGTGTAAATGAGGCAGAAAGTCTGATCAGCAACCTGGGACTTGGTCACAGTATTCGTGATGCCATACAGCAGCAGGGTCTACCATTAGACAATAGCCTGGCTGTCTGTCTATTTAGCCTATCCGGTTGCATAGACTACCAGGCTATTCAACCGGTGACGGCAGAATAGCCACTATAAGATATTATACCGAGGTATATTTGAGAGTTCACACTGGATAACACCATTCTCATGTGTGTCCAGGCCGAGACTCGATCCCTTGACATATTGATGAGAGTTACGTGCGTTATCGCTGTACGTATGAACGCCTGTAGCACTTCATAGAACACCAAGAGCCTTAAAAATGTCAGTAACAGCGGCATTATTTTCAAATGCACGTTGACTGCATGGTTTTCCAAGCCGAGGAAGAACACGTGACGCAGACGCGAGCAGGCAAGTGTTTTAGAGAAGGATATAAAACTCTCCTTAAAACCTATTATTTTCTTCGTGGCCTCCGACTCACGCGCCATATATGGAAGGTGTGATATAAAGTTTGGGTAATACATGGGTGACTATTTAAAAAAGTGTTTTACAATCTGTGCGACATCATAGAAAATTATTGTATTTCCTGCATTTATTTTTACTTTGTAATTTTTGGTGAGCTGGAACCAATTACCCAAAACCCCATTGAAACAGTGGTTTCGCTTAACGAACGACCTTCTGGAACGAATTGTGTTCGTTAACCGAGGGACCACTGTATAATGACAATTCTCACATTTTTATATCTGTAAATAATGAATACTGTACTGTATTGTAAAAGCTGCCAACTTTCTATGGGTAGACATTAATAGGTAGTAGGCAGCTACCAAACAGGGAGGCACTACCGCCTGGGAAGATATTGGAAGCATAATGTGTTGTCTAATGGTAGACCCTGCTGCCATATGGCACCATGAGAATTGTGACCAAGTCTCAGGTTGCTGATCTGATATTAAAACATTTCCACAAAATACGAGTTTCACATTTAAAATCTTAACAAAAAACCATATCTTTAAAGCACACTTAAAAAATTTGGAGCAGTCCAAATTTGTAATAAAAATCAAGATTTTGAGCCAGCATGAGGGTCCAGGGCACATCCATGAAGAAAATTTGGGAAACGGTTAATTCCGTTGCATTTTTTTCAACTACAATTGAAGCCTGGCATAAAGTTGATAATTTATTATCATCTTACATTGAGCTCTGCTTTGAAATTTGTTTTTAATTATGTTGTAATATTTTCATGTATTTTCCCCAAGGGTTTATTTAATTTTAGAAATATTCTTTGATTATTTAGTACTTCAAAGATAACTGGCAATAATAGTTTAATTTATTATACTGGATATACTCCTGACAAAAGACATGAAGTCACATGTTGCAGTTCTCAAAAGTAAAGTTGTATTCTTGGCCTACAGTAGCTATATGGAATAGTCCTCTGGTGTATATTTGCCATTGGTTTAAGCCATCTTGTGGTATGGCTGAAAAACCTGTGAAAGAAATAAGTTTATTTATAAATGTTCCTAAATTTTGTTAGTAACCGGTATTCAACAATCCTTAACTACATATTATGAGTGTTAAAAGATGTTAAAATAAATATTACAGATCACTTCAGATGCTTTTTGTGCATAACAGCAACTGTGAATCAAATAAACTGTTCATTTATACTCATAAGAATAGAATGTTTTTTATCCTTTAATGCAAAATGAATCTAGAAATTACTGTACATTAAAATAAGGTAGTGACCTCAAAAATAGACTAGAAGTAAATACATTAGGGAAAAAATTAAGACATATTTATGATATTGCACACTATCAGTCCCACACTTAAAAAAAAACTTATCACAATTTGTAGGTTAATTTGGTATACAGTACAGGCAAGAGAATAGAGTCATTTTCTATAAAAGAAATTTATTGAGGGAATTGATATTTATACAAATACTATAGTGATACAATCACCCATTTTATAGTTATTCTGGTTGAAAACTAGTAAATGTTTATATTAATCAAATGATAAATTTACTGCTACTACTGAAGGAAAAAAATCCTAAAATATGTTCAATATTAAAATCAAAATAACTATACAGCATGTAGTCCCCTAAAAAATAACAACAAAGAAAACATTGTTTCCATCAATATATGCTATAGGATATAGCTATAAAAAGAAATTTGTACACTAAAAATATTAATGTTATTGTTTACATAAAAATATGAAGGTTTGTTCAGTTTAAAGAAACTACATTAAGAGATTACTAAAAGTAAACAAAAACTTCATATTCACAAATGTATCAACTACGTAGTTTTACAGCCAAGTTTATGTGTTGGGTGACTATTAAAGCTTTGTACTCCTTATACCAATAAAAAAAAAAAATGTTCAACAGTTGGCAATCTGTACTGTAGTCACAGAAAAAAAAAACATTTTGTTTATAAAGTTCATTTTGTTCACATTTATAAAAAGAAGCTTCCAACTGGTCCTGGCAGGAACACCTCCAGTACAAAAAAAAAAGAGTATCAGCCAATGTTCAAGTATTTTCAGTAGTATTTCTCGATTTCAAATACTGATGAAAACAGTCAATAAGAAACTGATATTTTAGTTTCTTCATTAAAATACTGAATAACATTTCCTTGGTATTTGTGTCCATTTGATCTGCCAAGGGCTCGAGGAATTGTGGGTTTTCTTTCGCTTTCTTGCAAATGGCTGTTATGAATTCTGGTTCCATATCTGAAGAAAATATGAAAGACTTTACATATCATTTTAGTCAAACATTGCAAATTAAAATATTTTTTACAATAAATGTCAAATACTGTAATGTATTTTTGTAACATGACAAAATTTATCATGTAGTATAGTATAAGGAAGAATATACTGTCAGATAATGTTTGTGTTGGCAAGCACATTCTGATGGCTGGCCAGGTATGTACTGGTATATTGTAATATACATGTAGCCCCAAAGGTACAATAACTATTCTATACAAAATACAATCAATGAACTGACAAATCTGATGCAATCATCATTCACTCACTCACTTTCTTTCTCTTGTCAAATTTTTACACAAAAGAAGTTAAAATATTTATGTGGTTAATATGAACATTACTTAAAGATGTAAAGAACAGTTTTTACCTTCTGGTGATGCATCTAAGGGGGTGATACCATCATCCAACCCTATAATATCCAGCCCTTCAGGCAGGGTCTCAGAAACATCGTTTGTTCTCTGTTCAGTGGTCTCCATATTGTTTGAATCATCGTCTCCAGATTTTCTACTTTCCAGGAAATGGTCTTGTTTGTTTGGCCGCAAGTTCTCTTTGTCTTCACGGTCTACCTCTCCAAAAATTTCACACAACTGAATTTCGACCTCGTCCATCAACGATTGAGGAGATTTCTTGCCTTCCCTTGAAAATGAGAAATCACCTGTGTTAATGATTGCACTGATTTTAATTTTCATGAGATCATAATTAGAGCAACTTAATAAAATAAGGCCATTAATACTTCACCTTAAAGGTCACCCATTAAACAAAGTAAATTCAATGAAAGTGTAAGGAATTTTATTTTATGTAAAAAGCATAGTAAAGCTCCATGCAGTGTAGAGTTGCATTACTGCGGTCCTCTTTGTATTAGCAATTTTGTGTATTTTCAAATGAATATCATCCACATCATCATTTTATGGCAATATTTTTACAGATGATAGAAGATGAAGGAGATGAAAAGCAAGGGTGAAGGATGAATCATAAATGAGGGGCACAGACATGAAGGAAGCAGCGGTGTGTACAAATAATTTAAGTGTGGCAATGACTCATTTTTGAAAAAGGATGCATAGACATGTGTTAGTTTGTGTAAAGCAACAAGGATAAAAGCTGAATTCTGATCTCATTTTACAGCATGAAGAAAGAATTAATACTGTACATTTCAGACCGCCTTGCAATGAAAAAAGTCATTTAAAATTTGTTCAAACAAAACCCTCCCATTTTCATAACTTGTTGCAAGTAATCCTCCTTACCTTAATTCTGTTTCTTCATATTTCTTTAGAATTTTCAAAGTAACAGGAATTTTGGGTGCCCTCACTGGCAACTTGTTAACGTCAGCTTCAGTTAGCTGGCTCAATTGACCAACAGTTTTAACTCCAAGTTCTTCAAGAACTGCCATCAGTCCCTCAACTCTGAAAATAAAATTATAAATCAAATTTCAAGTTGTACAAGAAATTCCATCTTGAAACATGAATCAGCTACTACTCATACTCTATACATGCCTTGTCATGCTCCCCTATTATTGATGCAGCCAATGATTACTGAATGTCCATCACCACTACTTGTTTTGTGTCCTACATCTCATCCTTACAACTTGTTCTTGGTTCTTCCTCCTTCCACCCACCTCTCAATTAAACATACTCTTCACCTATCTTTATTTCCCATTTCCTCATGTGTCTACATCTGGTCAACTTCGTCTTAAACCTCTTTTTTTCATCCTTAATTCTTATTCTTATTCTCTGCATCCTACTCATCACAAAATATTCTTGAACATGTCATATTCATCACAAACTATTCTTGAACATGTCATATTCATCACAAACTATTCTTGAACATGTCATCACAAAATATTCTTGAACATGTCATATTCATCACAAACTATTCTTGAACATGTCATATTCATCACAAACTATTCTTGAACATGTCATATTCATCACAAACTATTCTTGAACATGTCATATTCATCACAAACTATTCTTGAACATGTCATATTCATCACAAACTATTCTTGAACATGCCATTTCCCAAACAGAAAAAATGGAAAGCAACAAAGATTCAATAAACTTACAGTGCAGGAGAAGTGAGTAGATGGGCCACTTGGTCAACCTTATCCTGACAACTTATCAGAGATGGGTACAATGGCTGGCTACAATCCAAAAAGACAGGTGAATCTGTCTCTTGGGATTCCTTACTGGAAGATGGGTAATCAATATCTGGAAACAGATATCAATTTTATTTATTTTTTTAAATTTTAATCCTACTCCAGTTTTTGGTATATTAGTACAAGAATGTACAAGAGTGACTACTGAAGGCTAAAGAATAAAGTACTTGAGTTTGGGGCTGTATGTAACAAGCTGTTTAAGGAGAGCCTGATAAAACTGCCTAGTTCTTGTGGACTAGCCAAAGTCAGCCAAAATTTTGTGTAGGTAGTGCAATGTACGGTACTATCACTGATTTTCAGCTTGGGATCAAAGATACTTTAAACTTTTCTTGTGAAGTCAACATAAGCGTACAGTACAGTACATAATAATGAGACTCTTTCAACACTATTAAACATTACTAAGTCCTTGTTTCCACAGTCCTCACTTCAGGTAAGCTGTCTCTCTGAGGGATGTTCAGTAAGTAAAGAAACTGGGGACAAAAATAAAAAACTTTGAATATATTTTATAAACCTTATGCATATTGCACCATTGTTATTTAATTCATTCACAAACTAAAGAGAACAAACTCTTGTTCTTGTTCAATTCTTGTATATTAATACTGGGAAAAATATTTACAACCGGTGTTACACTTTAAATAAATAAAAGAGGGAACTATTCAAAGTATTAAGAGTAAGGTCATTATAACCAATACCCTAAGACCATGTCACACAACCTTCTATATTATAACATGGCCAGATCAACTTACCCTTTCCTGGGGAAGACGCATTAGTCATATCCAGTCTCTTTTGAGCCCGAATTCCTCTTAAGGTCTTTGGAGAAGGAGGTATCTCAACACGCTCTGAGACTGGAGGATCAGCAAAACTGACACGTCTGTATTTTGAAGGAGGTGAAGGAGTTTCTGTCTCTGTAAAGTAAAACTTAGTGTAATTGCATGATTTTTATTCTAAAAAATTATCATAAAACTTTAATTCTGTAACAAATATATCTTCTGATGATACAAGAACTAAAAAACCAGTATAACCTCAAACTTTCCTTCTTATAAGATTATGTAGCCAGGGTCTGCCTGCCCTATTTTCCTGGAATAACATGTGTAGTATATACTGTCTATGAAGTTCTTTTGTTACTTTTTCTTGAACCTGAATCCATGTAACTACACACACATGCATGCACATGCATGCATGCATGCATGCATGCATGCACACACACACACAAACCTTCTAAGAGCAGTGACTGAACTATGAACTACAAGTAACTCATCAATTTGCCTGATCTACTGAAAATAATAACCAACAATAAATCTGTCTTCTGCTATTACTCAATATCATAATTATGTTAATAAGGACAATTCTTTATGAGTCATTCTAACTAAAAAACAAAATAAAAATAATGTTACCCACTGTGGCTATCATCTGTGGGAGTTTTTTTCAAGATGCTTGTGGATGGTGATGCTCCTGGAGAAGGCTCGTGTTTCACCCAAGGCCGTCCACCATCACTGAAGTGGAACAGATCAATCAAATACTGTACTACACAACTGTTTTATATTGCTGGGGCTAACTGTCCCATTATCACTAAAATGTATACCTCTAACACATATATAAAACAAGAGAGAATGCTCACCCGTCTCCTAGTTTTCTTTTACGACTGGGTGGAGTGCTGGAGGGAGAGAAGCGTCCTGGTAAACTCCTCCTACTAGGTGAGACACTGAGGCGATGTCTTGATATATCACCTGGTAAATAATGTTTTTACATATATTTATCTTACAACTGGTACTGGATCAACTCATTAAACATATATCTTGCCACATACTGTATTCTAATATGCTGTACTCTATCACATAAAAATGTGTTCACTTTCAACATCTGTCTATTTCCTTGTATAATGACTGCTCTAACCCCTTCAAAATATTATGAGTATGTAGAGAGAGATCAAGCAAGTCTAGGGATTGATATCCCAAGCTCCAGGGCCTCAACTTAAGAAGGATCTAAAAATTGAATAACTGATAATTTGAATACCCTTTACCTTCACACCAGCATCCCATGATAACCAATTGGTAAGAAGACACTGTTGGTAGAGAAGACTTGAATTTTGGTGTCTGTCTCTCCTCTACTCATTACATCATACACTAACACATAATAGCTAAGTCTTCCATTCTACTAGCATTTGCTTCTGTCTCCTTTTACTACTTTTTTCCAGTTATTACTTTTCACTTTTACTGTTAATTTTCCACCAGTGTTCATCTGCAAACAGTGACCCATCATGCCATACCATTGATAACCAAACTTGCATCTCCTTCTATCACTCATTGTCATATCTATTACTACCTCATCCATGCTTCATTTATTTTTTTTTAAATAAAATTTGATATGGGTGTGTGGCCAACATAAACACCAACTAAAGAACACAAACCTCCTGACTTAGGTGGTGATTCTCCCTCACTTGTTCCTCGGTTCTTGATGTTTTGCTTCGCACAAGCAACCAGCATGGCTGCCCTGGACCCTGCATACTTCAGTGAACCTTTCTTCTTCTGTCTCTCAGGAGTACTAACTGCTGAATGTAATTTTGACATACTTTGTTTCTCCGGTGAGAGTTCTTCCTCTTGTTGCCTTACAGTGAGATTAGATTCTAAAACTGTTTTGTCCAATTTCTTAAGACTACAAAGTCCACCATCACTACCCATCTTGCCTAATTCAGTATCACTTTTCTTTTCTAGATCCTTTACAACAGACTTTTCTGGATCTTTATCAACCATTTTTTTCATCTCCTCTATGTCCATATTTTCTAAACTTTCAGCATCTGTCATGTTGGCACTGTTCAAGTCCACTTTCTCTGATTCCTTTTCACTTATGTTTTCCAAAGAGTCAATTCCCACCTCAACAAAATCTTTCTTCTTCACCTCCGAGTTACTTACACTTAACTCTTGTGAATTTGGTAATTCATTTTCTCCTAAATCCCTTTCACGTGCTGGTTTTTCACACTCATTACCAGTACGTTCAGAATGTGAGTCCTGTAATGGACTAGTACATTTATTTTCTGATTTATGTTCATCCCCATTTTCAGAATCTTTAGTGTCTGTCTTTTCATTGTTGGTTTTACGATCTCTGTCTCTTGAATCTCTTAATCTGTCAACATTACTGTCAATTAACTTTTTGCAGTTAACCTTTTTAGGCAGTTCATTTAAATATTCATCTACTGTCTGACCACATTCGAAAGAACTTGATTCATCTTCTGAAATTTTCTCAACTTCCTCCTGGGTATTTACAGGACTCACTGCTACCTCTATTACTGGTGTCACTTCTGCAATGTTCTTTTGTAGGTCATCATCACCTGGCTGAAGATCTTCATTTGTTTCTGCTTCAAAAGATGCACCAATTACATTTTTTACAGACTGGTCTGCATCATCCCCTTTACTAACATAATCAGATGATACTTTAGCCTTGTTTTTATTTGTTATGGATTCCTTGGACCTTCCAGAAGTATCCACAGACTGATCTCTTTTATCACTTTTTTTCTCTATGCTTATATTACAAGCGTTCTCTGATGTATCTGTGATACTAATATTGTTCAAACCTATTTCATCATTGCCATCAGTTTTATTTTCTTCATCATTATCATCAGTTTTATTTTCTTCATCATTAACAGTTTTATTTTCATCATCATCATCAATCTTATTTTCTTCATCATCATCAGTTTTATTTTCTTCATCATTATCATCAGTTTTATTTTCTTCATCATTAACAGTTTTATTTTCATCATCACCATCAATTTTATTTTCTTCATCATCATCAGTTTTATTTTCTTCATTATCATCAGTTTTATTTTCACCATTATCATCGATTTTATTTTTTTCATCATCACCATCGTTTTTATTTTCATCACCATACACATGAGCTTCCTCAATCGACTTAGTTGCAGACTTCCCAGCAGGTGATTCTTTAGGTTTCTGAACTAACGAACTCGATCCTTCTGAAACACAAATTTCTTCTACAACAATTTCTGACTTGTTTCCATTCTCTAATGCCTGATCACCTTCATCAGTGTCACTCTCAGTGCTTGTCTGTGATTCTTCTGCTGGAATGTAACCGTCAGTGTCATCACCACTAAACTCGACATCTTCCATCTTAGTAAGCGAGGCGCTGTCCTCAGAAATATCAGCGTCTTCGTCTATAATTATTTTGGCGTCTTTACTAAACATGTCTGTGATCTTCTTTTGGACAATTTTCTTTTCAGGTACATTTTTTTTGGGAGTTGTCAAAATCCCTTGTGTTTTAGGATCATCATCTACATATGTCACCATTATTGCCTCCTGTGTCTTTAATCTCCTTTTTGGATTAGAATTTCCAGGTGGGGTCATAGGCTCTGGCATGTCTTTATTTGGGGCCACAATCTTACGTCCTGACCTTGTAACCTTAGGTGGGGTACACGGAGAAGAAGTGCCGTCCGCATTTTCAAAATTGCTTTGACTGTCTGAACTGTTCTGAGAATTCTTGCGCAACAACTCAGTTTGGGATTTCATAGTCTTTCTCATGTTTTTACCTACATTATCTTCATTATCTTTACCTTGCTTTTGATTTTCTTTGCTTTTTCTAGGATCCATCATTTGTTTCTCCAATTGTTGCTCACTCACTTCTTCTATGATCATTACAGAATCATCACTTGAACTGTGCTTCTCTGTTGGTGCTTGATGTGTTTTTTCTGCAGTTCTGACCTTCTTCTCAATGTTAACAACCGACTCTTCTTCTGATAGCTTTCGCTTTCTTTTTGCTCTTGCAACTTTGCGCAGACCATCAGTTTTACTTGTACTATCTCGATCATTATTTTCTTTAACTAATTTACTTTTCAACATGGAAACTGAAGACTCGCTGTTATTGAAAACAGTGGCTTGAGAATTTGGAATTTCCTCATCAGAGTCTGTGTCTGACACGTGAAACATGTTCATATGTTTTAGTAACAGGACTTCATCTGTTAACTTTACTTCTGGGATCTGTTTTACAATTTTGTAGTCCTTAATTACACTGGGTGAAACAGCCACCTCCTTGAAACTAATTCTTTGTTGTCTAATTTCCTTCGGAGATAGAATAGGAGAGTCGATTCCACTCGTGTCTTCAGCATGGCACTCCGACAAACCCACTCCTTTCAATGTTTTACGTACATCATTCAGGGTTTTCTTCACTGGTGTCTGAGCCTTCCGGCGATGGAGTTCAGAAGTGTCTATGGTTTGATTTGAGCCAACATTTTTATTGTCCTTAAGAGATTTTTGCAGCACAAGAGAAGTCTTCCTTAATTCCTCATTTAAGTCTTCATCTGTATAATCACCATATCTTCGAGCTATTGAATCTTTCTTCTTTTTACTTGAATATGTTTTAATATCATCAGCTTTTATTTGAAGTTCATCTTTGTCTGCTGTACTACAATTCTCTTCTTCAGCATTAGTGCAATTTTCCTCCGACTGAGTAACTGTTAGTTTCTCAACAATTGTTATAGTTGTAGCACACGGCTTTTCATTTGTATCTCTGTTATTTTCATTTTCAATTGTTAATTCAGCACCTTCAGTAGTTCCTGCCATTTCACCTACACTCTTTGGTTTCACTTCACTGCTTGAGAGACCTTTCACTTTAGTTTTGGACTGTTCCTTCTGGTTCACTTTTTCTTCTTTTCGAACATTTTTGTTCAATGCCGTCGCTACACTTTGTGATTCAACCTGTTTATTCTTAGAAAGTCTTCCAGACTTCCTTCTCAGATTCTGTACATCACCAGATGATTCATCATCTTTATTTTCAAATTGATTTCCTTGGATTTCAGGAGGAATTTTCCCTCTAAATGACAATTTCTCAATGCCTGATCCATCAGAACTTTTATTTTCTGTTTTCAGTTGCTTGGCAGAAGCTTTTAAGGCAATATTTTTGTTATCACTTTTATTTGAATTCTTCACAGGACTTCCTTTTAGCATGTCAGTGACTGATGATCTGTTGAAGAATTAATTTCGTAATATATATATATATATATATATATATATATATATATATATATATATATATATATATATATATATATATATATATATATATATATATATATATATATATATATATATATATATATATATATATATATATATATATATATATATATATATATATATATATATATATATATATATATATATATATATATATATATATATATATATATATATATATATATATATATATATATATATATATATATATATATATATATATATATATTGGTATAATATGAGGGAGGGATGATAGGGATATGAACACGGTTCAAACAGAAGATATATACTATATATGGAGGCAGCAAAATGGTAGTATGGAGAGCAGGAAATGGAAGTGTTTGACCATTATGTGATAGAAGCATGAAAGAATTTTAGATGTAAAATGATGATAGAAATTAATGAGCTGGGAAGAGAATGGTACAAATATGATATACAATATAACAAAGGTGGGGAGAAGGTCATTCAATGGGGGGATTTCAACATATTCTAACAGAGCAAGAGTATGACTGGGAGGGAGTAAACATACTGGTTAACCTCTTATGAGTATAGTGTGATGCAGACAGAAGTGATTGGTATTCTAGTGTATTAACAAGTCGATTCTGGTGTGACATTACAGAGGTAGATCTGGAACCTAAAATCCCAGAGGAAATGACTATATTTAATGACAGCCTTAAGAGTCAAAAGGCAGAATAAACTATTATGGAAAATTAGATACTGTAATGTTTTTACTATTAACATATACTGTACAGTACAATGAATTAACTGCCAAAATATTCACGAAAATAAAATAACAAAACTTGAAATACTGTACAGAACTTACTCGTCAAAAGAATTTTGAGATGCAAACTGTGATGGCAAAACATCCTGTGAGACAGCTTGTGAGAGTTCAGAGTACAGGGCAGGGATGTCAGACCTTCGCTCAGTCATGCGTTCAATTTGATGCTCAGTTAGGACTCTTCTTTTGGGTTTTGGGGACACAATCTTCACAAAATCCTATGGAAAGAATTTGTTTGTTCTTACTGCATAGAAAATGAATTAATGCTTGTGTGTGTTTGTGTAACACAGAAAAACCTCTCATATTTGCTTAGTGGCACAATACACCAGTGAAAGTGGGTCCCATAGACATAACTGCCCATTAGGGTCAGTGTGGGGGGGTACCAATTTTTGGGTACACAAGGAGGCAATATGGCCAGTACTGCACTCAATCACATTCACTTCCACAAGTTGTAAACTTAAGTACCCATTTACAGCTGGGTACAACAGGGATTAAACCACCGACCCATGGAACAATGAAGTGAGCGCTTTATCCACTCAACTGTCACATTCCATACACACACAGTAGCCATGGGTTCCTTTACATAAAATAGGGACCAAGAATACCCATGAAGCAAAAAATTGCTATAGTGTAAAAATACACCAGATCAATTAAATTTATTATAGTATAGTACACATACATCCAACTTCATTCATCAGCACTTATAACTTTGTCTGAGAGCTGCCCACTTAAGTGGTGTCATCATCAACCAAAAGATGACTCCTATCCCCTTTATCCCGCATCATCATTCACCACATTTGCACCTCTCTCCATTATTCTTATTTTCACCTCTTACTCTACTCCACCTAAGGAAATAAACAACCCCAGTGAATTATGCATACCTGAAGTTGTCCTTTCACAAGAAGCCACAGACTTCACTTTCCTTATAAAAACTAGATAGCATTCAATAACTAACCATTTACCCCATACTTTACTGAACTGTATATAATATCCACAATACTGCCCACATCTTTTTTTATTTTACTCCAACAAATACTTTTCAGGTTTTCTTTGATGGGAAACTTTATTCTACATTTCATCAGCCCTGATACAAAATTCTGACAAGACTTCCAAACTAGAAACGGACTTAATAGTATTCAAATAGAACTTACTTCATCTTTCATCTCTTCCAGGTTTGTCTTGAGTTTACTCTTGTCTTTGGAGGTTGGTGTGCCAAGGCTGTGATTACCAGGTCTTGGAGACTCAACTTTCAGAGATTTGCGTATGGTAGTGCCTTGAGGTGATCCCATACATCCTGCTTCACGCTTAAGTAAGCTACCAGCTTGGCGAGCTAGAAATTAAGTATCAGAAATAAAACCTGAAATGGTTAAAAGTGAATTCTAAACAATACTGTACACCAATGAAACCAGAAGGATAACTAACCAATTGTCAATAAATCTGAGCAAAATCCATACTTGAAGCTCTAATTAGGACAAATTTCCTCTGTTCACTATAAAGAGGAGGAAACTTCTCCAGTGACTTGTCCAATCATGTCCTTTTGTCTACAAATATACCAGGTACTTTTGCAAAACTGAATGAAAAGAATAACTTGACCAAATTAACTCAAGATGTAAATAAGTATATTACTGTATACTAGTGAATGCAGTACAGGGTAGTTTCATATTATTGTGCAAAAATATAGGAAAAATCTCTAAGATTTAAATAGGTGTGTCCATTCAGTCACATGCTGTTTAGTATTCTCTCTGCTGTTACGCATATTCATAACAGTACAGTAGTAAGTATGACCTGTCACTGATCATTATCCAAAATATAAATGTCTACAGTAAAATCTGGCTTCCACTGTATAAAAAAAATAAAATAAATAAAAAATAATAATAAATAAAATCTATCCAATATAATTCTTGAGAGGTAATTTTAAGCCTTTGGTTATAATAAATCTTCCACCATGATGTGTTTGGAATAAAAGGAAATATTTTAAATCTAATACAAATTTTGGTCATAGTACAAAGAACACATCTTTAAAACAAAAAATCTATTATCAACTTACTTGGTAAATTTTCTTTGGGGCTGAGACTCATTAAATCTTCTGAGGTTTCATTAAGATCTGTTAAACTGGCAGGAGGAAGTTTACACTCCTTCAAAATATCAAAAAGATTGGTTGGTATGCTGAAACTTGTAGATGAAAAGCTACTCCTCCATAATCTTACACCTTCTTGTTTTATATGTTTATTACTTGACCTCAGGGACACTACAAATACTGGTACAACTTTAGAGAGCTGATCTGCACTGTGTTTCTTTCCAAAATGATCTTCTATTAATGTCCCAAAACTCTTGAACATAGCAATGAATTTCCTTTCAACATCAGGATTAAATCTAGCAGCTGGATTAACTTTAATTGAGTCACATATTGGTTCCATGACCTGTGTTATCAACACATCAACCATTTTTTTTTGCTTGACACCATTGAAGACGTGTGTTATGGCTTCACACAGCTTTGATGCAGCTTGCTGCCTCTGAGATGATACCATTCGCAACACTTTTGGGAAGATGATTCCAAAAAGCTCTATACAAGCAGCCATATTGTGAAGAGGATTAGGCTTCTTTCTGGGTTTCGCTGGACTGTTAACCACTGCAAAGACAAAATACTTTTAAAGTCAATTACTGAAAACAGTATACAGCATTATTTAAACACAGTTACCTACACAAGAGACCAGGGGTGGGCAAAATACGGCCCATCAAGTAAGTCTATCCAGCCCACCCACCACTGTCTAGCAACTTGGGAAAATTTACTGTTTTTCTAATCCCAGAAATAAATCCTATTAATTATGGTATGTCCTATGAAATAAGCCACAGAAAGACACGAATCCCACTATGTACTGTACACACGGAGAGAAAAAGAGAAGCAATGAATTTTGATCATACATTACGAACACAACTCATCCTTGACTTACATCTTACTGAAGTCTTGCCCAGTTCTGAATATCTTAAGTTTCCTGTAAGAACTACCAGAATATCTGCCATCAGATTGAAAGTAGCAGCATGTACATCAGGCGGTGCTGTAAGCTTTTCCGCACACATAGTAACCAAACTCTGAGCAACATAATCCACTTCACTATTGGGTTCAGCTGTAGGGGTCAGTGGAGTTAATTCTATAAACTTTAACCAGAGTTCAGTCCAGTCTGTCATGATTGGCTGTGGAGGAAATAAGGGGAGAACTTTAACCCTTTGATGACAATGATTTAACCCTTCAAGTCTCCGAGGGTTAAGCAAATTAATATTAATTATTATTTTTTTTTAAGTTCTATTCAAACATCCATTAAAAGCAATTTCAAATTAAAACTCATTAAAATCAATTTCAATTAAAACTCACTTTCCATACTACTCATACTATTAATACAAACATATGACACGGCAAAAAATATTTTTATCATGAAGGTGTGATGTGCAATAAATCCATATTACTTAAATATCATGAAGATATTAATAACAAAGGCTAAAGCTAAGAAAATTGTCATCCAGTTATTATAATAATAATAATAACTCACATAATAAATGTGATGATCCGCTGCACTGAGGGCATCAATGGAATGAGTCAGAGGGAAGAGAAGGCTACTGTAGATGCAACTCCAGTCATGTTCACTACCATCACCCTGGTCTATCATCTGTGTCTGATAACATTATTTATGTTCAGTAAAATCAATAAATATAAACCTGCCAAGAAAATAGTTCAAACTTTTTATCTGTAATGGGAATGGGTGAAATTTAACACACACTGAATTAATAAATTTAAGTTATCGTATTCCCTTACATGTAAAATTTGTGAATTACCCATCAACAACTTTGTGAGTGTATGACTTTGATCTCCGTTTCTTAGTATTAATGGATGGAGAAAAAAACATATGATAGAGGAGACTGATATATCATACAGGAAATACTGAAGATGTATATATGGGGCCAATGGAACTGCCGAGTGTTGTCCTAATCTTTAACAGGAAGAAGGAAGTGTCTGTCATGATGAGAGAAACCGGTTCATGTTAAGAGATGGGTTGTCAGTGATCTGTAATGTTGCTATACCTGTTTAAATATTTAATGGTATGGGGAATAAGAGAGCTGAAGGCATAAATAATGGATGAGAATGCTGAGTTACAAGATGCAAATGAGAGGTGAATCAACTGATGTTTGCCGATGATACTGTTCTAGTGGGCAATTTGGAAGAATAATTACAATTGTTATACAACGAGTTTGTGAAATTGTGGACAAGGATAAATCATTATTAGCATGAAAAGACAGAGTGGAGGAACTGAGGTATTTCAGGCATCTGGGAGTAGATGTACAGTATCTGTAAATTGAATTACTGTGGTAAGATGAAGTGGATCACTGGGGAAAAAGGGTAAAGAAAATAAAGTGTAATGAGAATTATAAGGTGCTCACCATATCAAAGGAAACAAAAGATGAGAATGTACAGTGTCGTTTAAGATTCTTCGAACACTGCTGGAGACAGCTGGCAACTCAAGGCTGTTTGTTTACTGTAGTATGTAATAAAAATTATGAATGAATGTAAAAGTGATTGGTTACTTAGTTCCCCATTGCTTAATTAATTTGGGGGCTTTGTTGTTTTGTATTATACTGTATTATACTTTTCTGCTGGTATATACTGTTAATTTGAGTTGCCAGCTGTCTCCAGCAGTGTTCGAAGAATCTTAAACAAAACTGTACAGGGGTATTCTTGATCCAGTATTATAATGTGGGTTTCATGGATACACTGAATGTCAGAACAATAAACAAACTGAAAGTGGCAGGAGACACCAATATTTATTGTTATGGTCATTGTTCCACAATACGGCTTTAATATGTCTTTCTGGTTTCTACTTCTTTGTATAGCAACCAAATGTAACTCAGTACAATAGTAAGACATCAACCTCTTAAGAGCTACTCAATGCCATACTTTCTAAGTCATACATTCTCACCGATACATCCTAAAACATTTACCTCTTCAATGTGTTCAATAAGTTGACGAACTACTGACGACCATAACCGCACAAGTGTGTTAGGGTGTGCAGGGCATAAAACTGGTGCAGCATTATCTAATTCCTTCATTACTGAAAGCAGGAAACCAAGTTTTCCTACTGATGGATTGCTATTAGCAAGTAAAGCCAACCACATTGTGAAAAACCTGCAATATATAAAATGGACATCAATTCTTCAATTCTAAACTCCTTCCATTTAGTTTATAAAGCCATTTAATTTACAAACATCAAAACTATTTTTTGCTACAACTTACCCTTCTCTAGTTGTGGCATAGTGAAGTAGACCAGGCTTACACAACTCACGTATTAAGTGGTAACTTAAAGTCCCACTCATCATGTCTCTCATTGTATTGCTTGTTGATATATGATGATGTCGAGAGTTTAGAACAGACTTGGGTAGTGCTAAACTTCCTACCATAACCATTTCAAAGAACTTGAAAACAAACTGACTCTGTGAGTCTCCAGGGGAACATTCTCTTTCTAATGATGAAATGGTGTTAAAGAGCTCCTTCACTGGCTCTACAGACTCTTTCTTACTCGTGTCTGTGCTAATTAACATACGAATATGAGCAAGGACGGACTGGAACAGGAACACTCCAAGAAGGTACTGTTTACGTTCATGGGAACTAAGGCTTTGCACAGCTTTACCGGTGCAGTTCAACAGTAGCTGATGATAACGAAAAAACATCGAGGGGCTGGTCAACAGAGGCTCTTCCATCTTTGGTGTGGTATAGTTGTAAGTCGAAAGTCCAGAAATATTACCACCAACAGATAGTATCTGAGCTAATATTTCTGCACTAAAAACATGTAAACCAGAAAACTTTGTTCCTGGAGGCGCTGCAGCACCTGACATGATAAGATTCCTCCCAGCTATTCCAACCGCTGCCCCACCAGTAGAAGAGCCACAGTCAAAGCAAAACCTTAGCAGTGGTACTATTACTATATCAAAATTCACAGATGCTTTCTTACCAAGCTTACAAACAAGATGCCACCATGACTGAAGTTTTGCATAGGCAATATCTTCTCTTCTAGCATTATTAGTTTTAAGGGGAGCAAGAAGCAATTTCAATCTCTTAATATTAGTAAGCAAATTTATATCCAAAGAGAAATTATCCATTAGAGTCTGCCAACACTTGAAAGATTCAATTCGGATCACAGGGTTGGGACTCTTGAATCCTTTTTCTATAACTTCAAGGAGGCTATTTATCAGCAATAAACCAGAGTGAAGTTCCTTTCCCAATAAATGCACTACCATCCTCCATGACTCAAATACGTCGACACACTCCATAACCACCAAGCGGTTCATTTGTTTACAATACTGGGTCTTAATGTCTGGTATAATCATTTTCACAATGTCTGATTTAATATCATTGTAATCTGGTCTTTCCAAAAGAGTTTTTGCTTTGTGAACAGTAGATAAGGCAGATACACGAACTCTACTAACTTCGTGAGAGAGATACAAAAATAAACACGGCAGCCATTGTCTCGCTTCATTACAGAGTTCATCTGGAATGTTTTCTAATAAAGCCTGGAGAACTTGTATTGCTTCATGAACTGTAACAGATGATGAGTCTCCAGGAGTGAGAATGCCAATAAGAGTTTCAATAATTTGCTGAACTTTTTCTAGGTAAACATTTTTCTTTAATTTACTTTTTCCAAGACTCCACAGACTTCTAGTAAGAACTTTCTTCTCTTTTGCTTCCTTAATGACTTTTATTAACACATCTAATATTTCAACTTCATCCTCCTTGTTCAGTAAGCTGAGAAAACTAACATTAGCTAGAAGACATCCACACACTCCTGCAGCTTCATAACTGGTCTCTATTGCCCCATTTAACAAGTCTGTTTTAATATTAACCAAAGTTTTGTGTGTGTCATCCAAAGAGGCATAGTCACTCCATACAACATTCTCCGACTTCCCTGTACACTTCCTGAAAAGAAAAATATAAATATGAGTCATCTTAGTCAATAATTGAAAAAAGGCTAAATAAAATAACAAGTGGTACACCTTCACAAATAAGAAACAATTAAAAATTAACTTACGGACAAAATTTATTGATAAAGACAATGCTCAATACTGTACATACAATAACTCAATAATTATCAGTTTATTAGAATCAAGAATTATCTAAATCAGCACTAACCAAAGAACTGATCCTGAAACCCTAGTACAGTGCATGGTCAAGTTATAAGAATTTATAACACAGTAGTGGTCGGGACTAATCTTACAACTAATTTGTCTCTCCCAACTGGAATTGTCACCCTGAATTGTTCAGTACAGTAGAAGCAAAGATTTTCCTTCAAGTAGAGGGAAGAATCCTGACTAGCACAAGATATAACATCAGCTAAAGGAACACAGGGGGTACAGTAATTTATTTTATTTTTCTTCTCTGGATGGTCATGATGCATTTTTTGTCAATCCTATTTCAATCCTGGAAAACTTCCACACTTACCCACAATAAGAGGAGTGATGATTTCCAAGCTAAGGAATTCGAAATTTTTTTTTAGAAAATAGGATTCCAGGAAAAATCCTTCATTTATAGCCAGTCACCCTTCAAAAACAAATATTCCAAGCACTAATGAATGAATCCTATCTCCAGTTTACAAGATTATGTTGTGTTTCTGGATTTACAGGTCAATTCCACAAGATGAGATATACTTTTTACTTTTATCCCCTTTACCACTGATTGGCTCGTTAGCCACTTGGGCGATCGGTCAAGTCTCTGTTACGCACTGTTTGCAAGTACTGGGCATGCACCGGCTCCTGAATGTACCTGAACCTGCTCCAGTGTTGGTCAAGTCTGGTCTTGAAAGAGCTCACACTCGGTGCCGTCACAACACTCTCTGGCAGATTGTTCCAAGAGTTCACAACTCTCACTCCGAAAAAGTTACCCCTCACAGTTTTCTGGGCTTGTGGCTTCTTCAACCTTGAGCTGTGACCCCTTATGGGGCGAGCATCTGCCAGCTCCAGGTAAGGGCACTCAACTGAGTAGTGCCCTTTGAGATGTTTATACACCTCAATTAGGTCCCCCCTTGTGCTCTAATCTATCAAGGTAGCTGATGTGCCGTAGTGCAGGCACCAGTCTGGTGGCCCTCCTTTGGACATTTTCAATCAACTGACAGTCCCGAGCATATCTCGGGGACGAGACAGGGTGACAGTACTCCAGACGGTGAAGCACTTCACTCTTGAAGACCATTACGAGGGACGGACCATCTAAATATCTGAACGACCTTCTTATAAGACCTAACAATTTAGTTGCCTAATTCACCTTCTTCTCGCAATGGCCCGAGTACTTCAGCTCATTGTCAACATACACACCTAGGTCCTTTTCACATTCAATCTCAATTAATGCAATTTCTTCGTCCCATTGGGACATATGATACGCCTCCTTACTGTTGGTACGTCCCAGGTGCAGCCTCTTACACTATGCGTCATTGAATCTTAGCAGCCATTTCTTCAACCATTCTTGAAGTTCACAGAGATCCTTCTGCAGCACTTCACAATCTGCTTGGTTCTCAATTTCCAGAAATAACTTTGCATCATCTGCAAACATTTGTATGGAGGAATGTACAGTGTCATGCCTGTCCTTTATGAAGCAAACAAACAACAGCGGGCCCAATACACTGCCCTGTGGTACCCTGCTTGTGACAGGTACACTTGATGATTTCATGCCATTAATCACCACACACTGCTTGCAGTCATGTAGAAAGTCTCCGATTAACGCTAGGACATTTCCCCAAATCCTGTACCCTGGGGGATCAGCCTGCAAGCTTCCTGATGCAGTACAGTACAATACAGGTGCTCCTCTACTTATGAACGTTCAACTTACAAACTTTCAGAGATACAAACATCATCACTGAGGGGGGTTACCTGCCAGAACAGGTGTTTAATGTGGATGAGACTGGATTATTTTGAAGAAAATTCCAGATAAAACAAACATTACCTAAGAGGAGAAAATTGAGCCAGGTTTTAAGGGTGTATTAAAGGGTATAGCTGTACAAAACATCCATAATCTTTTCATTTTTTACAATATGTTTGGTATCAACTAGAGTAAAGTTTGACTTACAAACAATTGGACTTACAAACAAGCCTCAGGAATATAACTTGTTCATAAGTAGAGAACCAATACTTGAGTTGCCTGATCTACTGCATCAAATATAAAACATCCACTGTGTAAGGCCTCTAGCACAACACAGCACTGTACTCTTCAAATGAGCAGAACTACTGTAATGTATTCAAATTCTGTACTGTAACTCCACTCTGTCACATCATGCAAGAATTCTGAAAGAAGACTTACTTTGTAAGGGTTCGATATGCAGGCACTCGTGTGGTCACATTTTGTGACGTACACTGGTTCACCAACTCCTCCAAGCTGTCAGCGTCCTCCATCTTCCCCTGAAAGAAAATTCCATGAGTCCAAAAATTCTGGAATGCAAAACATTAATTAAGGCAAAAAAAAATCACACTCCACCTAATTCCTTGATAAACAACTCAACTTCCTACCTACTTTATGATTCTTATCTAACATCCTTTTCTCTTTCTCTGGTGTCGTGCATCACTGTTCATAATACTGTACTGTGGAATCATAAGCTGCCATATTCAAGGTTTACCATATCCTTCATGTGAATGTGGGAACTCTTAAACAGTTGAACAAAATCTGGCAGCAACACAGGTCTCTCTAAAAGGTCAGAAGAACTAAGATGACTTATTATGACCCTGGAACGGTAGATATTTAAGGATATAACATATCACATGTTTAACTTTAGGTGATCACATAAACTCTACGGAGTGACTCTGTGGCCGTAATGTTGTGGCGACCTCTTCCACAGTAATATTGGGCCGGGGAGTTAATGTGGTGGGCATTTGCTGTGTGGCCATTGGGTCTTCAGTTTGTTGAATGGAACATCAAAATGCAGTAATGCTTTTCATATTACAGTGCTTTGTTTTCAAGAGGTTAGGTTAGGTTCACTCATCAAAAAACTTATCAAAATGCAAAATGCTGAATGATATGGATTCTGTTCTCTAAAAATGCAATGTCATGGAGCCAGCCTGTGGGCCAGGTAGCTGCAATATTACGAACACAGAGCCACTTCCTAACTCTTTGTTTTTTTTTGTTAGCATCTAAACTACTACTGTAGTGCATTGCATTCACATTTTATGTTTTGTAAGTCACAAATTTCATGAATTATAGAAATTTTAACCTCCATATTTACAGTATATATTGATTGTTTTTGGTTTATCCTGCAAACAAACTTGCTACAAAATGTTTAAAGTCTTGATATGAATGAAGAAGCAGTGTTTGTAAAACTAATAATTTCTATAGAAATACTATTTCTAACTCCTGAATATAATAAAATAAAGTTAGAAGAACTGGAATGTTCCAACTTTCGTTTCTCCAATATTTTTTGGCACTGAAGATGAACCTACCTTGTGTGTCACCTCCATGCAGCCTCCATTAACAGCTGTTTATAAGAACACTAAAACACTAACATTATTAGACTTTCGTACAGAATTGCTATCTAGTCATTTACGAGATAATCTAAAATATGGAACCAAGTCAATTGATATTATGAAGTACAGTAGCTACACAAATAAATTCGCTGGGCTATTATTCTGCAAACACCAGCAAACGAGCCTAAATCGTATACAAGTTAGGGGTTATGAGGCTAAATCATATGCCAGTGTTTGTGGAATAATTACCCAGTAGACGAGTACAATGACTAGATTAGGTTAGGTTCCTTTAGTTATGCAGTATTTTTAATTCCACATTTCTCCTCAGCTTCAAAGCCCTGCCCATCCTTGGAAGGGTCATAACTCAATATGCAATTAAGCATTTCCCCAAACTTTCGTTATCACCAGTGTATTTAGCATGAAAAGCTGCATTGAAAACACAAATATTGGTTACCAAGGAAGATAAATGTTACTCTACAGCAAAACCATGGGAGGACGGGGATGTAGCATGCAGGTGGTCTGAATCGCATTACTATGGTATAAACATAATACATGTCCTAACTCTGAAAAAAAGTATTTCCCCAATAGAAGACAAAAATGGTAATTATTTACAACTTCACAGCCGCTGATTTTTCAAAAAAAATTGATTAAAAAATTCTGCAATTTCACTGTGGTTTATAGTGAACACTGTCGTAGTTATGGCAAATGTGTTACTTGTTTATTTAAAAGTTCAAGTTATTAGCCACAAAAGTATGGCAGAATAGTGATGTGTTGTTGCCGAAATCGTGAATGGACTTAAGAGTAACGTTAACCAAAAATGTTTGTCACACCTAATTGTTTGCCGGTGCGTGCGGAATAAGTACCCATTTATTGACACCTTGACTTAAATCATCATACATTATTTAGGTAACTTATACAGTGTATACAGTACAATGTTATTCATGAGGTTAATCCCTTGTGCACAGAGTCAACTATGTGCTTAATAAAATCATCTCGTGTTAGACAATTAAATAAAGTGGTGTTCCCATAATGAAGGGGATAAGAGCAGCCTTTCTTCTATACAGTACACAGTGTGCTACAGTGGACCATCAGTAACTGAAGTTTCTTACTGCACTACTGTTCAGGATAGTGATACTAATTCACAAATGTCCTTATTCCTGACTTTACTCAAGTTATGTAACTGTATAAGGACACAAAATAAAACTAAATAAACAATACGTAATCAAAGACCTTCCTAACCTGATGTGGCAGCCTACCCCACACACAAGTAGCCATCACCGTGGATGTACACAAACAAGTCTGACACAACTGTCTAATGATGAACAAAACTGGGAGAAATTAGGGGTTGACAGTCATGAGTCAAGACAACCAGTCCCCCTTTCTTTACCACTTAAGAAAACTGTCTTTATCCCTAGACGATGAGACGACCATGGGGGATATACCCAAGGCACAGCCTTAATAACTAGCAGTGCCGATGTCACAACATAATTAAAGGAGAGGCCTCTTTATTCTGCTCCCGTTAACATCTCATATATAAACTCATTAATTGACCTTTGTAAAATATAACTCAATGGAAATTCACAACTAGGCTAACAGATTAGAGTCGAAGGGAAATGTTATAAAACAGAAAGAGAGAGAAAACATAAGAGTCTCACCGTCTCCCCCATGGTTCCTGGCCACCACAACTCACTTGGTAAGAAAGCGCGGGAAACGGCGTGTTTCTGCTTGTTGGAGGCTCATGAGCTAGTTACTGCGCAGACGATCCTACATTAAAAACAAATACAAACAGTATAAACGAGTCTAACATTGAACCAAAACATGTGAAATCAATAAATATATATATATATATATATATATATATATATATATATATATATATATATATATATATATATATATATATATATATATATATATATATATTATCAAGAAGTTTAGAGTGTATGCATATGTAGTTAGTTTATAACTATATTAAGTCCCAAAAGCTCATTCTTTATGGTTTTATAACTTTACATGCATTAGTTTCTCACATTTTTCCAAAGGAATGGACAATTCCTAAGTATTGTACTCTCACCTCGCCATTAGGAACTATAGGGTACAGTGCACAGAAGCTCCACTTCAAACAAATAGCAACTTCCCTATAGGTAGTGTAGCGTACTGTAGCCAGTTGTCTATTGTCTCTTTGTATGGGCACACAAACGTACGTACATGTAGATATCTCACACTCAGGAATGAGGTAGGATAGAAACTCACAATGCGCTTTCTCTATATATATTGTTGTACAGCGCAGTGCTTAGGAGTGACTAGGTAAGGAGAAACTTGCTCAGAGGTCCTGTACGGCGAGAAGGTTTCTGAGGAAGCTGAGTGGTGAGGAGCTGTGAGAGATGTTGCTGGTCCAGTAGCCGAGTGTAGAGTGGTCTCCCTGGCTGTTGTTGTTGTTGAGATTGTCGGACCGTAGTCCGACACGGGCCTTTGCCTATAGGCGGCCCGTTTGGTGGTTCCGGCTGGAGCTCCAGGAGCAGCCAGACCGGATTGGGATTGGAGCGCCATGCCTGGCCAGGGTCTCCCTGGCCAGGTATGGCAGTATTTATACAATTTACGGGGAATCAGGATTTGGGGTGAGCGTAGCGAGAGGACCAATCACAGCGGCTTAAGCGTAAGGTGTGAAACGCTCTGATCCTGAACCAGAGGTTGAAGGTAGAGACTAGGTCGGCGATCGTACCCCTGCGTCCTCTGCATAGACCTAGTCTCTCGGCGTAGCTGGCTGTACGCACTCAGCATCAGTCACTCTCTAACCCTCTCTCACCATGAACGGTTACGAGTTTGATTACGTGGCGCGGATACGTCCGGATACGCCGACCTGCCCCAAGAAACTAAACCTCCTAGTTCTCCAGAAGTTTTTTGAAACTAATGGGATCGTGGGGGTCACCAAGGTGGAACGTCTAAAGCTCCATGGTGACATCAAGATCACCTTCGTCGAGAAGGGCATGCCCGCACAGCTCGCGGAGATCCCAGACATCAACGGCATTCCTTTTAAAATGATTGCCTACATGTGGGACAACTTGAAGCTGGGAGTAATCTCCCACGCCGAAATTGCCCACATGAACAAAGCAGGGCTGAGTGAGCTCCTCAAAGGTAGAAGCACATGGAATAGGTGGATCAGTATTAAAATGGATTAGGTCATGGTTAACTGGTAGGAAACAAAGAGTCAGCATAAATGGATTAAAGTCAGACTGGGGTGCGGTCAAAAGCGGAGTTCCCCAGGGATCTGTATTAGGCCCTCTGCTGTTTGTTATATTCATTAATGATCTTGATTTAGGCATAACTAGTAGGATTAGTAAATTTGCAGATGATACCAAAATGGGCAGAGTGATAAATTCAGACAGTGACTTTGAACACCTTCAAAGAGATCTAGATACCTTACATGAGTGGTCAGTAAACTGGCAAATGAATTTTAATACTGATAAATGCAAGGTACTACAGATAGGGAAGACGAATACAAACGTTAAGTATAAACTAGGTAACACGGAAATAGAAAACTCAGTTTGTGAAAAAGATCTAGGTGTATTTGTTAGCAACGACTTGAAACCTAGAAAACAATGTATTAGCGTTCGCAACAAGGCAAACAGGATTCTTGGGTTCATATCTAGGTCTGTGAGTAACAGAACTGCTGACGTTATCTTGAAACTTTACCTAGCATTAGTGAGGCCACACATGGATTATGCGGTTCAGTTCTGGTGTCCTTATTATAGAATGGACATAGATTCTTTGGAGAGAGTACAAAGAAGAATGACAAAAATGATCCATAATATTAGAAACCTTCCATATGAAGAAAGACTGAAAAGCTTAGGCTTACATTCATTAGAGAGGCGTAGAGTTAGGGGAGATATGATAGAGGTGTACAAGTGGGTAAGTGGGATTAACAAGGGTAAAATGGAAGATGTTCTGAAGCTCAGTAATAACGAAATAACTAGAACAAATGGCTTTAAATTAGATAAATTCCGATTCAGAAAGGATATAGGCAAGCACTGGTTTGGTAATAGAGTTGTGGATATGTGGAATAGGCTACCGAGTGCTATAGTAGATTCGGGGACGCTAGGGAGCTTCAAGACGAAGTTGGATAGGCACATGGAAGTGCTGGGATGGGTGTGAAAGGGATCTGCCCTGCATGGGCCAGTCGGCCTCCTGCAGTATCCCACTTTCTTATGTTCTTATGTTGTGAAGAAGCTGTCCGACACCACTGCCCTCATCGGACACCACTCCACCTTACCCAAGGAAGCTCAACTGGCGTGGGTAACTGTGCCAGTCAAGCCCTACTGCAGACCGAAACGGTGTTACAAATGCCAGCACTATGGACACACTGTAAACAAGTGTGAGGCGCAGGAGGACACCTGCTCCATGTGTAGCAGCCCTGGACACCGCTACACGGTCTGCCCCAACAAAGAGAAAAAATGCGCCGCTTGTGGTGGCCCACACTCCTCCGCCGACCGGACCTGCCCCAAATGGAAGGAGGAATGCAGGGTAGCCAAGGCTCGTCTTGAGAAAAACTGAGCTACAAAGAGGCCCTCCTTGCTGTACGCTCCCAAGAAAAGAAAAAACCAGCAGAAAAGAAAAACCAAGTAAAGAAAACTCAAGAGAAGACGCCCACCACACAGAACCAAGAACACCACGTGGCCCGTGGAGCTGAAGCCCACGTGGTCAACCTCACCGTCTCTGACTTCTTCCACACCTATGAGAACCTAATACACGAGGAAGACGAACAACAAGACCCAAACACAAACGAATGGACACTCCAAGAGAGCAAGAAGAGGAGGAGAGTGAGAAGAAATTCGATATCAAGCTAAGAAGACCAAGACATCTCCACACAAGAAACCAAAACACACATTCAAGCCGACCAAGCACTGTATATCCATTGCCCAACCCAACATGCACCTGACGCTTGACCTGACGCTAGCCTGGCCGTGTCTTGTCGCCTCCCTGCCGCGTCCAGGCGAGTTGCTGCTGCCTCCAACTTATAATCCCTCACGCAAGCGGTGTTTAGCCACTGCATCTGTTCTCTCCTCCTAAAATTCACTTCAATCCTCCCTTTATTCTTCCCCTGAACCTCCTTCCCCCCTGTCACTAGCATTTTTGTTGTTGTTGTTGCTGTACGCGCATCACTCTCTAACCCTCTCTCACCATAAACGGTTACGAGTTTGATTACGTGGCGCGGATACGTCCGGATACGCCGACCTGCCCCAAGAAACTAAACCTCCTAGTTCTCCAGAAGTTCTTTCAAACTAATGGGATCGTGGGGGTCACCAAGGTGGAACGTCTAAAGCTCCATGCTGACATCAAGATCACCCAGCAACAAGCTGCATTGTACATCCAATACAATATGTATACAGTGAGCACATTGTGAGTTTCCTTTCTCCATCCCATCCTGATTGTGAACCAATATTTCATACCCCCACAGTATCACATATCCCAACAGAATGAAGAGACTGCATTAATTGAGACAGAATGTGAAAAGGACCTGGGTGTGTATGTCGTCAATGAACGTAAGTTCTCTGACCATTGTAGAAGTTGAATCAGGCAACGAAACTAGTAGGTCTTATAAGAAGTTCGTTTAGATACACATCTGGATGGTCCGTCGCTCGTCACGAGTGAGGTGCTTCCCCGTCTGGTCCCCCTAGGTATGCTAGAGACTGTCAATTGATTGAAAATGTCCAAAGAAAGGCCACCAGACTTGTGCCTGCTCTACGGAACCTCAGTTACCCAGAGAGATTGAAGCGCCGTTAACTACTTAGCTTAAACTACAGACGGGCGAGAGGCGACCTAATCGATGTGTATAAACATCTGGGGCACTACTCGGTCTAATGTACATACCTGGAGATGGTGGACGACCGCCCCACAGCTCAAGGTTGAAAAAGTTACAAGTTCAGAAAACTGTGGAGGCCAAGTGTGAGCTGTTTCAAGACCAGACTTCACCAGCACTGGAGCAGGTTCAGATACATTCAGAATCCAGTGTAAGCTCAGTACTTGCCAACAGTAAGAGACGTGACCGACTGCCCAAGCGGCTAACGAGCCGATCAGTGGCGAAAAAACAAAAACAAACAAACGTGGGAAGCCTTCTTTCCTCGCACAGCCAAACTGTGGAATGCTCTGGCTTCTTCTTTTTCCATACTCATACAATCTGTCTCGCTTCAAAAAGCTAGTTTTCCCGGCATCTTTTTATTCTTCCCCCCAAGCCCCGTTGTGGGCCCCATAAAACAACAAAAAACTCTTAGTGTGAGACTCACTACCAGACATCATAGATTTCCTCCGGGTACTTCGGTTTCCTCCTGTACTAACACTCGACAATATTTTAGTTTACCCTTTATGATTTCCAAGTAATTATCTACTCTTTTATTACTGAACAAGTCAGGCCAGTCCAAGTTCATTGCTTCACACCTTCCCTCACTACCCACTTCCTGCACAACCCACCACCCCCCACAACACCACTATCCCTCACTACCACTTCCTGCACAACCCACCACCCACAACCCACCATCCCCCACTACCCACTTCCTGCACCACCCTCACTGCCCACTTCCCCCACAACCCACCATCCCTCACTACCCACTTCCTGCACAAGCCTCACTACCCACTTCCCCCACAACCCACCAACCCTCACTACCCACTTCCCCCACAACCCACCAACCCTCACTACCCACTTCCCCACCCACCACCCTCACCCACCACAACCCACCAACCCTCACTACCCACTTCCCCCACAACCCACCAACCACTTCCCCACCCAACCCTTCACAACCCACCCACTACCCACTTCCCCACAACCCACCAACCCTCTGCCACTTCCCCCACAACCACCACTACCCACTTCCCCACAACCCACCAACCCTCACTACCCACTTCCCCCACAACCCACCAACCCTCACACCCACTTCCCCCCACCAACCCTCACTACCCACTTCCCCCACAACCCTCACTCCACTTCCCCCAACCCACCAACCCTCACCCACTTCCCCCAACCCTCACTACCCACTTCCCCACCCACCACCCACTTCCCCACAACCCCTCCACTTCCCCACAACCCACCAACCCTCCAACCCACTTCACTACCCACTTCCCCACAACCCACCAACCTCCTACCCACTTCCCACAACCCACAAACAACCACCAACCTCACTACCCACTTCCCCCACAACCCACAACCCTCACTACCCACTTCCCCAACCCAACCAGCCCTCACTACCCACTTCCCTCACTACCCACCAACCCTCACTACCCACTTCCCACCCTCACCCTTCCCCACAACCCACCAGCCCTCACTCACTTCCCCCACACCACCCTCACCACTTCCCCACAACCCACCAACCCCTCACTTCCCACTTCCCACAACCCTCACTACCCACCCCACAACCCACTTCCCCCACAACCCACCAACCCTCACTACCCACTTCCCCCACAACCCTCACTAACCACTTCCTACCCATATTTTCATCACCAAGCATCACATGTGACTACAATACAGGGTATTAGGAACTATGGATGGACTTCCTTTTTAATTTCTCCTCCAATAGGCTGTAATTTGACGATCTGTCTACAAAATGCTGTAAAAATTAAATAACATTTTCTATACATTCTCCTGTCATATTTTGCAAGTGGCACATCTTTATGAATTTGTTTAAAATACAGTACTTACAAATACAATTATCAATCGAAACTATTGTACTGTGGTCACCACCACCCCTTTAACCACCACACACAATTCAACTTCAGTACCCTAAATCTTCCCTGCTCATACTTTATATTAGCCTTCCATACGAAAACCCATATATTATTTTCTTACTTTTTTTTACTTTTATCCTCTTCGCCACTGATCGGCTCGTTAGCCGCTTGGGCAATTGGTCACGTCTCTGATTACTTTTCCTTTTCATTTATCTTCTTCACCAAAAGATCGGCTCGCTAGCCGCCCGGTCACGTCTCTTGTCACGCACTGTTGGCAAATACTGGGCATGCACTGGCTCCTGAATGTACCTGAACCCGCTCCAGTGTTGGTCAAGTCTCGTCTTGAAAGAGCTTACACTCGGTGCCATCACAACACTCTCTGGTAGATTGTTCCAAGAGTTTACAACCCTCACTCCGAAAAAGTTTGCCCTCACAGTTTTCTGGACTTGCAGCTTCTTCAATCTTGAGCTGTGACCCCGTGTGGGGCGAGCGTCCGTCAGCTCCAAGTAAGGACACTTGACAGAGTAGTGCCCCCCCGAGATGCTTATACACCTCAACTAGGTCCCCCCTTGCCCGTCTGTAGTATAAGCTAGGCAGGTTCAGGCGCTCCAATCTCTCAGGGTAGCTGAGGTGCCGAAGTGCAGGCACCAGTCTGGTGGCCCTTCTTTGAACATTTTCAACCAACTGACAGTCCCTAGCATATCTTAGGGACCAGACGGGGTGACAGTACTCCAAATGGGGAAGCAATTCACTCGATGATCGTTACGAGGGACGGACCGTCTAGATATCTGAACAACCTTCTTATAAGACCCAATAACTTATTTGCCTGATTTACCTTCTTCTCGCAATGGCCCGAAAACTTCAGCTCATTGTCAACATACACACCTAGGTCCTTCTCACATTGTCTCAACTAGTGCAGTTTCTACATCCCGTTGGGACATATGATACGCCTACTTACCGTTGGTACGCCCCTTGTGTATCTCTTAAGACATCACACAAAACTCACATAATCTCAAGAGATTTTTAGATCAAAAGGGGTAAGTTGATAGTTTTCTGGAGGCCATCAGGTTCATGAGGAATTTAACCAGGCCAGTGCAACAAAAACAACCATAGAATACACCCATTTAATTTTCAAATTGCAAAACATTCCACTGCCCCTCCACCTATGCATGTAAAGGTAGTGTTAATGTTTAAAAGTACTTTAAAAACACAGTACATTTATTCTCTTATAAATGAAAATAATTATACTGTACTGTATATGACATACACATACAGTACTGTAATACAAATCCCCTAAAACTAAACACAATAAAGTCAATTCAAAAGCAACGAGATAGATAATAAAATACCTGTACTGTACTTGTAATGATACATTTATCCTTTAGGTTTAGGTATTCACATCTACAGAAGATAATACTGTAATGTACTCTGCAGTATTTATGAAACAAATTTTCTGAGAAAAAAATTAGACAAATAAGCATTACATAAAAGTACAATTCCATTCAAGACAAATTCACATTTGATTCCTTAAAAAAATAAAATAAAAATAAATAAATGAGAAATAAGAAGACTGAAAAAATATATACTGTATATTGGTCAACATTCCTCTCATTTATAAACCAAGGATTACTGGGTAAGAAAGCAGGTAGTGTACTGTACAACCTACTCCATTTGTTATTAATTATATCCAATATTATTTCTACTAAATACTGTACAAAAATTTAAGATGTTGGAATGTATGACATCTTTATCATAAGTCTCCTTTGATATTTAATCATGAAAATATGCTCAGTACAGTACTGTAGTATTGTACAATACATTAATATAAGAAAAATTTATGAAATGTAGATATTTTCATTAGTAACATGTGCTGTAAAATTTCTTGTGTTAATCATGAATGACTAAAACAAATTCCTTCAACAAAATTTACTGATACATTGAAAAATTTCTTTGATTTTAGAAAACTTCTCTTATGCATGTTAACAAAGCATACATTTTACAGTACAGAACAGCACAGCACAAGAGAACAATGCATACGGTATACTATACTGTATAGTACAGTACTGTAAATTAGTACATACTGTACCACATTCACGTAATACAGTATTAAGATATCACTAAATATCACAGTTGGGATGAATACTGTACTGTATTTCAACATGAGATATGATATAAATTATAAAATTCTGTATATGAAAGACTTAAAAAATGTAACCTAATTCCACATACAGTAATGTGGTGACTGTAAAAGGGCATCACAAGTATAAGCAAATAAAATCTTTTTTTAAACACAAATAGAGGTTTCCATAGATAACTCACATAGAACAGTACTATTAAGTAAACTGTAATTAACTGCAGTTGTATTACCTAAATGCTCAAATAAATTTATAACAAAATATGCTACAGTATGTGCAGGGCCTTGTAATAAAGGCAGACTGCTATGTATATATTTAAAACATATAAAATCTAAATCTCTGTATATATAAATAAATATCTATCAAATAGTATACTGTATACTGTAAACATGTATATATATATATATATATATATATATATATATATATATATATATATATATATATATATATATATATATAATATAAAATCTTCCCTACACAACAAAAGTCAATAATCATTGCCTGATTCTTAAATTTTTTAAGTTTTAACAATATAGAATTTTTTATTTTTTTGTTTATTTATTACATTTAAGGAATTTCTCAAACATGTGTTAACCTGTACTGTACAATAAAAACATTCAAGGAAATCAAACATCCATCAGACATCATGAAAGTAAGAAAACTGATCTTGAATTTTATCCTTTAAAATGTGTATCTTATATTCAAAAGAAATAAAAATTAAATAAGAACCCAAGGGTTTATCTTCATCACAGTATTATGAAATATAAATGTAGTTAAAGAAATACAGTGTACATAAAATGACTTAATATACACTGTATCTCACAATCTGAAGTTTCAGTTATTTGTATTATATCGGCCTAACATCCTATTTGCCACTTCTCTCCAATTTGTGACTTTACCAGGAGGAAGGCCTGCTGAAATTGGGTCTCCATGGGTCACAGTATTTCGAGGACAATACTTCAGAGTGTGAGCAAAATCACCAGTAGCGTTGCAGAGGGGACAGACGTACAACCTCAAAACAGGACACTGACAATGACCACGTTCATCCTGTTAAATAGCAAGCTTCATTAATTAAAATCAATATACTAGAGCAAGAGCACATTTACTCTTTACCATTTACTTGCATGCTGTCTTTCACTACAGGTACAGTACATTATTACAGTGCATCAGTTAATATCTGCAGAACTTGTTTAGTTCTCTTGGCTATAAAAAGAGTCATGTTTTGCCAAATCAGTTTTATAAACTATCATTAGCACTCATAATAATTCATAAGCTTTCAGTTTATTGCTTATTTTATAGAGAAAATTATGCTTCAATATACAGTACAGTACACTCTTGGAACAAACTGTCAGAGTTGTGACGGCACTGAGTGTGAGCTCATTAAAGACCAGACTTGAACAACAATCAGTGGCGAAGAAGGTAAAAGTAACACTAGTGCAAGTACAGAAACATTCTGGAACCATAATATGCCCAGTACTTGCCAACAATGAATAAAAGAAATGTGACTGGCCACCCAGTACAGTACATCAAATACAGGTACAATATTTTATTTCAAATCACATAAATAAACATAAGTATACGTACCTTTAATGTATGGGATTTATAGAAGGTAGAATGGTAGTTATTGTTCTTACAAAACACACAACCTTTAGTTGGAGAATTTGCTGGGGACATAACAGGAGACTTGGGAGGAGTGTATGAGTTTAACATATTTCCATTGTATGAAAGATGTGCCACATCCCTTGCTCCAGAAACCAAGGCTAGTTCTTGCATTAAGGCAACTAAATCTGGAAAATATATACATGAACTGTACCTGTAATTAATAATTGAGTTTTCCAGGAATGTCAACCAGCATAGCCCTTGATTTAATACAAAAGAGTAATTTTAATGATCACATAGAAAATTAAATACTGTACTGTGTAGCAATATATATATACTGTATATATATATATATATATATATATATATATATATATATATATATATATATATATATATATATATATATATATATATATATATATATATATATATATATATATATATATAATGCTACACAGTACAGTATACATATATAATTTACCAAATATGGCGAAAAAGATATTTCATAATATGTAAATGTTACCTAAATATGAGAACAGAACAATATTAACAATATACTAACCTGACTCATGGCAAGATGCATATGTAGTATGGTAAAATGCAGTTTCAGATCACCTCCCTTTTGGGGAACAACGACTGTCCTGTGACCCAGTGATCTATGAGGGAAGTGAGAGTGGTGAACCATGGTACAGTATACTGTAGATGGTAAACATGCTGTCCCATCATTTCACATATGGTAAGGTCTTGGGTTTGAGTCCCAAGTGGTTCATTTTTGTTTTGTTTCCCTTACTATCATTTATGGTTAACTAAGCAATGGCTTGTACAGATGGAAAAAATACAGTACAGTACTGTATTCCATTACATACAAACCAGAGTAAGGTCAGCTTCACGCTTATTGGTATTTAGTAGAGCATTGGATGTTTGCAGATTGAAATACTTTTTTTTTTACTTTTACTTTTATCCTCTTCACCACTGATTGGCTCGTTAGCTGCTTGGGCGATCGGTCACGTCTCTGTTACGCACTGTTGTAAAGTACTGGGCAATGCATGTTGAAAACACCTATAGGAACCCATCAGACCTCTATATTACAAGCTTCAAGGCCCTAAGAGGAGATACCACCATACAGTCAACCTAGGGAACAGTACAGTACTGTACAGTATGAAGTCTGATTTTGTGATTGGAGGAGATGAGTAACCTAAAAGAATGTACTACAGGTTGACAACCCTTTATCTGAAATTCCAAAAACCGAAAAGCTCTAAAAACCTAAAGTTTTTTTGTGTTTTTTTGTGTTTTTTTTTTTTACAGGGATTATTAGCCCAGCCAGGCACAGATCACTGACCCACATCGGGGCCTGGGGGGCAAAAATGTAATAGTAATTATAAAAATAATTATTCATAGTAAATAAAATTTTTAATAATTATACACCAAAATAAAATAATAATGATTACAATAATAATAATAATAATAATAATAATAATAATAATAATAATAAAAATATCATAATAAAATTAATAATAATAACAATAATACTGTAATAATAAAATAATAATACAATAAAGAAATACAAGAATGAAAAAAGATCAAAACTGAGAAACACGACCTAGACCTATGAATTATTATTATTATTATAATTTTTATTATATTTTAGACCCCCAGGCCCCAATGTGGGTCAGTGATCTATGCCCGGGTGGGCTAATACACACACACACACAAAAAAAAAAAACCCTAACCATTCTGAAAACCGAAAAATTCCAAAAACCGAAATGCCTCTGGCCCCAAGGATTTCGGATAAAGGATTGTCAACCTGTATTGCTACATATTCTCTGCCGATCTGTTATTGCCAGGGAGTTTCAACTACAGTGAACCCTCACTTTACGCGGTCAATTGAACCCACGGCGGCCCGCGTAAAGTGAGAAACGCATAAAGTGAACAACATAACATATGGGATTAATTGAAATAGAGACCGGGCCGACCCCCAAACTCCACTTTTTCAGACACAATACCTACGTTATAGTAAAAATAACTTCTTAATTTTATGATGGTATGCACACACAATTAATAATTAAGAGAAATATCAATAATATTAGGTTTTTTAACACTTACATTAGTAGAAAAGATGGCTGGGCACACGGGGATGGGGGGTTGGTTCCGAGGCAGAGGGCAGGTTATTGGCCCTCACCTGTATCACTTGTATCAATTGTATCACTATCCACTACAGAGGCTTGCAGGGCCTTTGTCAAACCCCTCAAAGTCCATATAAGTCCATATCCTCACTATCATTATCACTGACTTGGGCCGGCTGTGGTGGGTGGCGGGTGAAGAACTTGGTAACGTTTTGATGACTGGGCGACCTTGTGCGCACCCTGCTCGCACTGCTCTCCGCGTAAAAGGTACACACACCGCGGAAAGTGAGCATTCCGGTTTCGGCAGGGTACCGCGTAAAGTGGGACCGCGTAAAGCAAGGGTTGACTGTATTCCATATGGGAAAAGGAATCCCACTGTCCTAGACTGCACTGGAAGCAAAACCAAAAAACCACATGATCCAATGGGGATGAAAGATTACTGCTTTTAAGGAAATAATACTCTCTATATCATAGGTAAAATGTGACAATGGATTAGCATGATAGATGTGTTGAGTTAGCATTGTAGAACCTGTGTTGTATTTAGTGCCCCCAGTTTACTGGCACTGCAGTTGAAGGAAAATCAATACGTACTGTATCACCATCAGTAACTTATTAGCCTCACCATTATCCCATCTCAAACAGTTACACAGTCTACAAATCTAATAAATTTCTTTAACTGTTCTAAGAATACAAACAGAATTCCGATAATATCTTAAATATTTTGCCTAAATTTTGATACCACTTAATATTTCAAAATTATTCAGTACAGTACAATACTCTATACAATACTATACTAACTAAAAAATAAAATCTGATGCTCTAGCTACAGTACTTTACAGAAAAGTTAAATAATATATCTACACTTTTAAGAATTACTTAGCATCACTTGCAAATTGTTAAATGATGTCAGATTGAATAATAAATCACTCGTACAGTCCTAGAAAACCGTCATAAATCTCTCAAATTATAAGCACATACTGCACTGTACTTGGCACAGTAGGGTACATATATTTCATGCAGTATCATTGATGAACATTATGTTATGAGAAAAAGTTAGGGCAGCTAAACTAAACTATTGAAAGCAAATACTTCAACGGCATTTTATGTAAAATTACCTGTGTGCTGTCTCTGTGGTTGAAAAGCTGTTCCTTGGCTGCCGTAGGATTCAGTCAATGGAGCATTACGTGGTAAAGAAAGTTCATGAGATGTTATAAAATCCCTATTAGTTTGTAAAGAATATGGATGACACACTTTTGGTGGTGCCATAGCTGAGGGTTGGCTCATATTCCCAATATCCTGTAACACTCCCCTTTGAGACAATGAAGACATTATGTGGTCCCAAGGGAGAGGATTCTGAGGCCTATATGTGTCAGTTACAGATGAAGTAAAAGTACTATCACTTGGCATTTTTGTATTTGTATTCCACAAATTCCTTGGAACATCTTGAGCTGATGGGAAAAGTTGACTTTTTGGGTTTGTGGAGTCATTTAGGTCAGTTGCTATCAAACCCGATTCATTTCTGCATTTTCCTATACCTTTGGCGAAAGATGGGCAAATGTTTTCTTCATTGCCTATGGTTGGAAACATGTCTACACTTGAAGTCGACTGTGTAATTACATTTCCAGGTGGGCTTGAAGCCAAAAAATCTGTAAAATCATGTGGTATTTGACCATGATTAGTCAATGGCTCCCACACTTCTCTCTGGATGACTGGGATTAACTCAGCCTGAAGTAATGAATCATTTGAACTTAAAGGTGTGTGCCAAAAATCTTGGGACTGGGAAACTGACAATGACTTATTAAGAGAAGAATCTTGTTCATTTGAAGAAATTCTATTATCTGTTGCGCTTATTGCATTTGTAAGAGGGGGAGAACATAAGTTATTTACATCACAGTCTTCACTCAGCTGTTTCCACAATGCACTTGTTATTTTGGAAGGAGGGTTGATGACCTTATTGCACTCGGAGATAGACGGGCTCCATCTACATGATCTGAAATTTTAAAGATGTATAGTAAGTAGTACTTATCATTATAATGAATTAAACTGGTTTTATTGTCAATATTTTCATTGTATAAAAAGAAAGTTATCTCAGATAAAAACACAGGTATTTGTACAATATATACAAGGTGGTTCTGTAAACAGTACATTAAAATGGAGGATGAAATCTTTGGACAATTCTAAACCACAATGTATCTACGGAAAATGTCCGATTCTGCATATGGCTATGTGTTCGTGACAAGTGCGAGCAAACTAAACATGGTCCAAGCATTCTGGACCACGTCAGACAATCAATGGTACGACGTGTACAGGCCTGCATTGAAGCAGAAGGGGACAACTTTGAACATTTCCTTTAAGTTGTAACAGAGGGGTCACACTGTAGAGATCTGTGAATAAATTATTACAAAAACCTATGGGAGTTTCACTTTAAATTCACTCTCATTAATACAACATCTTAAATGTATTGTAATATGGAAACTATACAGAATCTGACATTTGACCATAGATACATTGTGGTTTAGAATTATCCAAGGATTTCATCCTCCAATTTAATTTCTTCTTTGCTAAATCACCCTGTATATATGAGTATATAGTGTATACAGTACCTCAAGATAAGGACGCTCAAGTTAAGGAAAAGTACCAGGGAATGAGTTTTGAGATACAGTACATGTACAGAAGAATTACTTGCATTAATGGATATTTCCTGAAAGTTTAAAATCTGGGTTATACAGTATTCAGCAAAGTTCACCTTTACTTTTATCGTCTTTGCCACTGATCAGTGTATAAATCTTGCCATCTCCAATGTTTCACAAAACAAAAAATAAAGTATGTAATAAGGTTTAGAAAGACCAAATATTAAATTAGAGTACAGTACCTGTAAATTAAATTGACATACAGTATTAAGTGTTATAACCTTGGATGACAGGGGTGGTAGAGGAAGGCTGATGCTGCCTTAACAAGTACAGCAGTGTGACGGCAGCATCTACATTTACATAATGGAAGAATATTGGAAAATAAGGTTCAAATTATTGAACCAAATTTCAAGTTAGACAATTTTTCAGGAATACAACCCTCCCGTAACTCGAGGAATGCCTGTACTGTACAACATTTCCTTTCTGGTACAAAGTGAATACTTTTTCTTAATCCTGCTGATGAACTTGAAGCAATATATTGTATCAAGCTTAAAAGCCATGTTCAATGTCCATCTACAACAAAGTCATCTCCTGGTTGTGGAAACATGTGGGTGCATTAATTTTCCAAACTTACAATTATGGACAGACAGACTAGGTGGGGGACAGGATAGGGGTAAAATCAGCTTGAAAATTTATTTATATCATGAACAAAATTATCTGCAGAAGTCCATACAAATTCAGAGCTCACCAGTGAATACTTTTAGCTTCATCCTGCTACTTACCCATCGACAGAATGTTGAAGTCCAAAAACAATGGAAAAATATTAACTGAAAAATCAATTAAACTAATTAGATAATTATGAGATTTATATATAAAGTCCAACTCTCCATGGTAAAGGCCTCGTGAAGCCTGAAATAAACCGGAGTGATATATTAACTGGCAGGTGAAAATCAAAGTGCCTTCATACTTATGAAGGGGATGTACTGTGCATAGAATGAGACTACACAACTGAAAATTCACCTGTAAAAGATTTTCATATACAGTACTGTACAGTGAAGCCTCTCTCTAAATCATAAGTATGGATGTACAGTATCTGAATCAAGAAGTTACTCAAACAAGCAATATGACATATGAACTGCCTCTTGTCATACAAAGTAAGGTTAAGCTTGTCAGATATTCCATGATATATCTTTTGGCTCTACATACACCTGTAAGATTTCTGAGTTTGTTCTGGCATGGTATGAGTACAAACATTACTGAACACAATTACAACATTATTATCAAGGAACATTCAGAGGGCAGTTATATTAGTGTATAGTCACAGCACAGTCACTATGTAGTATAAGAAAATGATCATAGAAAAAATAGTTCTATCGATTGAGTTAAGTGAATTTCCGGAATTCTGCGGTTGCTGTTTACTGTAATATTATCCACATTACTGTAGTTTATTTCCTGAGAGGTTGGGGACAAACTAAAGATAGAGGGATGATGAACACATCCCACAAAGGCGTAGGGTAGATACACGCTACATATAATAAGATTAACATTTAATTTTCCCAGCCTCTTTAAAGAGCGTATTTTAGCAATTGCACCCCATATCTGCATTCAATTGATATATATATATATATATATATATATATATATATATATATATATATATATATATATATATATATATATATATATATATACTGTATATATTGCTTGCAGTTTATATGCATATTTATTGTAGACAGAGAGATACAATATAGATTTTTCTTTACATATTGCCATTACATTTAGATCTTGTGTATATTTCAGAGTCCTGTCTTCGATCATCCTTGAATGTATAAATATATTCCCGTGACCAGTCTTAAAAACAGTTTCCAGCAATAAAGGTTAATGTTGCCCACCCAGTCATAATAGAAGGATCATCCACTAAGAATATATCAATCAAAACCTCACTCATCCCCCCTCCAAGAGTCCTGGGAGAAGCCCATTATTGCATCCTCGCAGTCATTCTATTAACTAAAGCCTTGAAGGGTTATTATAAATGTCTTCTCTGAATGTTCTCGGATGTGTGTCTCACCTTTGGTCACTCAATTTAGTTAATACTTTTAAAGGGAAAAGTTCCAAATATAAACTCGCACTTAAAAGGACAGCTGATTTTAGTCTTCTAACAAAAGGAACATTTATAAACAGGTAAGTATTTATATATATCACAAAATAATATATCAGTATCTTATTTATATTACCTTGGTGTATCGGTGTCCATTTCACGCCTGAAATCTAAGTAAAATCCACCAGCCCTTCCCACTCCAAGTGTCATTACCGACTGTCACAGGTGTCCCGAACTGCCCTGGACAATGGATTACGTCATTCGTCGACTTGAAGTCTTCTGTAAAATATAAATTCACCATGTACTTATATATACAATATTAGTATTATTCTTTAAATTTGAGAGTATATAATGGTAACTGCTGTATATAATAATTATATGAGAAGGAATATGCGCCATTTATTTTAGATTTTTATATGATCTAATTGTCGAAGAAGAAGCGGGAAGTTCGAAATCATTTAATCTCCAGCAACAATTTATTTTGTATTAAGATTAATTACCCTAATGCTAAACTAAACTAAAATAACATGTAATATCATAATATCTTAATTTAACCCTTTAGGCAGCGTTAGCGGGGTTAATCTTCAGGTGGAATAATCATGGGATGAATCTTCAAGTGACTAGAAAAATTTGATTTTTGTGGAGTTGCAATGGTTACAGACTAAGAACATCAACTATTTCGTTGCTAAGTATCACATTAAAAGTATTATTAAATTAGAAGAATAAATCTGGCTGGTAGGGTTTTCCATTCCCCTTGAGGGTGGAGGGTTCCGATAAAATTAAAGTAAGATATTTATAAGAAACTCTACATTCCTATGCACAAATTAAGGTTTATTGTATTATATGATAATATTAAGTTTCTTAAAAAAGGCGAACATTATTGAAGATTGACAGTACTGCAGATCTAATTGTAAAACTGTATACGTACTCAGGAGTATAAATCTGAATCCTTAAAATTTTCCAAAAGAATCGGCCTTATTCATTTCATCTGCAGCATATATAACTTATAATCTTCAGTTTAATCTTCACAAGGATAAACTTAATGGTCATTTCATAATAAATAAACCAAGTGATAATTTGATATTTGAGTGAGACAATTTATGTTAAAATGTATGACAGCGATGTTGTGTTTCAGAAGTCGTTGTGGCGTACGGTAGTGGATGTAAACAAAACATGGCTGATATACGGCTCGAGGTCCCTGCAGAGAACTCGGTGTTAGAAGTATTATATGATGGCACAGAATTATATCAACAGTGAGTATATTATAATAGAATGTCTTTATAATTGTGTAAATGAGGATATTATAGTATTGGCTTTACTTACTGAGTGATAATAGGCACGACCCTATAGGGGGGAAACATTGGCACTGGTACTTATATTTTTTTTATTTATATATGATAACAGAAGATGATAATTATGTAATTTAATGTTAGGTTAAGTTAGGCTAGACAAGGTTAAGTTAGGTAGGTTAGGCTAGACAAGGTTAAGTTAGGTAGGTTAGGCTAGACAAGGTTAAGTTAGGTTAGGTTAGGCTAGACAAGGTTAAGTTAGGTAGGTTAGGCTAGACAAGGTTAAGTTAGGTAGGTTAGGCTAGACAAGGTTAAGTTAGGTTAGGTTAGGCTAGACAAGGTTAAGTTAGGTTAGGTTAGGCTAGACAAGGTTAAGTTAGGTAGGTTAGGCTAGACAAGGTTAAGTTAGATAGGTTAGGCTAGACAAGGTTAAGTTAGATAGGTTAGGCTAGACAAGGTTAAGTTAGATAGGTTAGGCTAGACAAGGTTAAGTTAGGTAGGTTAGGCTAGACAAGGTTAAGTTAGGTAGGTTAGGCTAGACAAGGTTAAGTTAGGTAGGTTAGGCTAGACAAGGTTAAGTTAGGTAGGTTAGGCAAGACAAGGTTAAGTTAGGTAGGTTAAAGTAGATGAAGTTATGTAATTAAATCTAGTATAATTATCCTTTCGGTCATCCCTGTGTATTTCCGACGGTTTTCGGCGTTTTGAATGATTTTGATTTTTCCTAACCTTACCTAACCTAGCCTCAGGACTTAGGAACTAATATCTAACTTAACCTAAATTCCCAAGATGATTGAAACGATAATAATATCTTAAATCTGACGAGGAGTGAAATACTACTTTTCCGGTCCGACTAATTACCCAACTGTAGCCGCAATGAAGTCAAATAATGGTCCTACATGAATAAATCGGACTGCCAATCACTTCTCGAATAGTATTTGGTGTCACGAAGTCACAAACAAATGGAAAACTTAATTTAAATTGAGTTAATAGATCGCGTGCTTATACCGAGGGAGCGAGTAATTACCCAAATGTAGTCGCAATGAAGTCAAATGATGGTCCTACAAGCGTAAATCGGGCTGTGAATCACTTCTCAATTATTATTTGGTGTCATAAAGTCACCAAAAATTGGTAAACTTAATTTAATATGAGTTGTGTTAGGTTAGGTTAGGTTAGGTACATGCACTCGATCTATTAACTCAGATTAAATTAACTTTGCGGCTACATTTGGGTGCATTTGGGTACATTTGGGTAATTAGTCGGACCCCTACTTTTCTCTTGGTCTGAAAAATGACAGATGAAATTTAATGTAGAAAATTGTAAAGTACTTATCCTAGAAATATAGATAGAGAAACCAGATATTAGATAAACACTGTTGATATTGAGAAATCCTTCTGTGAAAAAGATTTAAGGTACAGTAATTGTAAATAGGAACCTTAAACCAAGACAGGAATACGTATACAGTATACTCGAAACAAGGCCAACAAGGTACTTTGGATCATACAAAGGAGTGTTAGTTACAAGACTAGCGAGGTTATCCTTAACCAACATGTTCAGGAGTGCCTCTGTATGAAATTTTAACAAAATCCATATTTTTTCTCAAACACAAGGTAATAGGTCAGAAGTACAGTACAGGTATTTTGGGCCTGATACACCTTTTATCTGGAACGTGAAAAGTAACTGTTGAAATGGTATAAAAACTTTTTTTAAACTTTCAGGCATTGGGTAATTGCCATTTAGAAATTCTAAATGTTTATAATTATTTCATTATTAACATAAGTTCCTTATACTATATTTTGCATATGTGAGATCTTACTTGGATTATGTGGTTCAGTTTTGGTTACTGTACTACAGAATGGATATTGAATCCCTAGTAAGTACAGTACTGTATTCAGAGGAGGATGGCAAGGCTTATCCCAGGCGTTTGGAACCTTGAGTAAGGAAACTGATTAAGGCATCTGAATTTGCACTCCCTTAAGAGATGTAGGAGTGAGGGGTTAAACAAAGGTGATACTGTATAACAAAGGTACTTAAACTATCTAACCAGGAGAGGACATGTAGCAAAGGTTTAGGCATGATATACTGTAGGTAAGCGCTGGTTTGGGAATAAAGTAGTCGATGAGTGGAACAAATTATCGAACACCATCATTAACTCGGACATGCCGGGAAGCTTCAAACATAGGTTGCACAGATATATGAGCGATATGGGCTGAGTTTACACCATCACACAGTTTCTAGAAATATGTTTTACTACACTTTTGATTGACATTGTACTGTACTTCATGAATTTCTTTTTGTTAAGTGCAGCACTTTTCATTCACAATTTCATAGTAAAGGTACGGTGGCTTCTTGTACCCATCAGAAATAAACATCTCATTCTGTGCAAGATGTTCAAAACAACTTTATAGTTTCAGAAAATATTTACCGGGTATGTTCTTAGCACAATGCATATTTCCACCTCCAGGCCTCCGACTATGTCGGAGAATCTCACACAGTTGGCGAGGAAGATTGACTTTGCAACTGATGGTGAGGAGGTAACAACTGAAGAAAAAAAAGAGGAGGAGGAGGAAGAAGAAAAACAACCTTTTCAGCAACCTCACTGGCCATTAGAAGAAGTCAGAAACAAGGTTAGGTGAGTATTGTAGCACACACATCTTGTTGATTTAATGCAACTTAAATACTGCGTTTTAGTGGTGTATTATGTTATAAGAATTTATTTACATTAATTAATGTCTTATATTGAGTATGGTTGGGAAGTTGGTATGCAGGAACTTCTCAACCTATAACTCCTTGATGTGTAGTTCAGTGTGTCTTAATGATATTTGTAATCTAGAGGATTTAGTCTGCTGTGATCTGGAATGGAAAATTGAATTCCTTGTAATAGCTTGGGGTGTACAGTTTACCCTGCTTTAGAAGTTAGTCAGTTTTACATGTAATATTTACTTTCAAGTATTTGTTATGTGTCTTTTTATGTATTTAACTTTCAGTATTGAATACTGTACAGTATTTGTTTCAGTTGTTTTTTACTCTTTGCAGACAAGCCTTGACAGAGATGTCGGTCTTACATGATTTACTGGTGATCGTGAAGCAGAAACCTCCACAATATATGGTGTTGGACCCTGTACATGCTGAGCCTCCAGAGCAGAAAAATTACATACAATTTCTTGCTCTTAAGAAGGTAAATTTCTCACACCTGTACTGTTCCCATGAGAGACATTGTTGGTCTTAAGTTCTTAACACTCACAATACTGTAGTTGTCTTCAGCTGGATGCTGTGCTAAATCAATTCAGTGAATGACAATAACACAGGATAATCTGATCTGCACTAATGTGAGTGTGTTGTACTGAACAATAGACTGTAGTATTCATAATGTACTTCATTTTAAGGTAAGATTTGTAAGACTTTTGTATGCACAAAAATCTAACGAGCTGTCACATCACAAAACTGTTGTTAAAGGTCTCTTATCCCAACACTGTGATCAGTAATTACAATGTGCTCAAAATATTGTGATGATTATTTATTTTAGTATATTACACAGTGTTATGTAAACACTGTAGTCTAATTCTACACAGGGGAATATTTTAAATACAAAAGCAGTATTTGCCATATACTTTGTATAGTAATAACAGTTTATTTGTGTTTGTGTGAGATAAGATTTTGCTGCTGAGAATTTGCATCTCAGAATGCATATTGCAAGAAAATGTGGTAAATAGTTCGAAAGGTTTATTAGCACTGTAAGAATGACCACCAATGTTTCTCTCTCACTTGTTCTTTGAATTCTTTAGATATATTCATTATGATTTGTGGGTTTGTGAGAAAGATTTTGGGAAATTGTTGTTATTGTTTCACAAGGGTTTACTTGGGTGTTTTGGGTTAGTGTCTTGGTGGTGGTGTACTGTTGTAGGTAGGGACACTGGAGGCTGGACTCATGGCATTATCTCTCCCCACTCTTAAAATAGCACCCTTCTCTTTTTATATTTATGACTCATCACCAAAAAGTGAATGACATCCAGGACTGATAATTCACATCCAGAGCACTGTCAATGAAAGAATTATCTATTAATAACATGGGTAGCAATTTCTGGTGGTTGTGGCAACACTTAATGTTTGGCACCATTAAACTTGCTCTGCAACAAAGAGATAAACTTTGCTTCATATAGGTGGGTGGGTGCCTAGGTGGGCAGGTAATGGGAGTGTAGCGGTGGTTGGGTGTGGAGGTGGGTGATGTGTATATGCTAAGATGACTTAGATTCTGTGATTTTTGGCAGTTTTCATCCCAAATTGTTTACCTTAATTATAATACACTACAGCATTGAGACTGTCTCATCTCCTGAAGTATAATTAGTGGGAAACAAAGAGGAAGTCCTGAGAGTGCGGTGAATGTCATAAATTTATCTCTTGTTAACAATAAGGCACAGAGGAGCAATGTCCACCAAGATAAAAATTTTAACTTATAATTTTTTATTTATACACCTTTCAACTCTATACTGTACACCATAATTAAGAGATCTTTTACTGTTTCTCACAACCAGATGCCTTTCAAGAGAGACTTGTTTAATATTCCCACTGAAGTCTATGAGCTGGAACCCAGAAAACTTTCAACCAAGAATGTTGAAACTAATCCATTGATTCTTCATACCCTTGTGTTGTAACTATAACCCCTAGACTAGTGGCACAGCATTAGAAGCAACAGCTACTATGTAATGGTTAGGGTTAATGAGTAATGACAATGCACTATCTGCTTCTCACTTGATAAGCTTGGCCACACAGTATGATTACAGTAGCTCCTCACTTCAGCTGTCCTTCTCATTTGGGATACTTGTTAGTTTTCTGACAGCAGCTCTAGAGAGAGAAGGAAAGAAAGAAGCTACCATAAGTGCTTTGCCTCAATTTTGTAACACTTGGGGAATTTAGGTTCAGTTACATAGTTCTTAGGTTGTTTATCTGGTAAAAGTGAGTTTTTATCTTCATTTAAGTCATATGTGCATTGTCAGGTTATTATTGAATTTTACATTAAATAACCCAGTCTGGAGGTATTGTGTGCTTTTTGTGTCTTGAGGTAGAACATTGAAGAACCCTTTAAGGGTCCTGTCAACTAGTTAGGTACTTGGTTGGGTTGTTGCATTGAGAGCAGTTGGGTGATGGTGTTTTCATTGGCTCACTTCAGAGTACTTTCACTCTGTTAAGTTTAATTAGTATGTAGGTGACTGATCATTGTTTGTAACCCATGATACCTGACATACATCAACTGGTGCTTCATCTTGCCTGTGATGGTCTTCTGACTTCTGGCTTCAATTTAATAAAGTCCTTAAATGGGGTCATGATACACTCATTCTACATGAGGACCCTGGGTCAATAGCTTGTTGCTTACCCAGAACAACACTGAAGAGTTGTGTGGCATTGGAGAATTAAAAAGCAAAAGTCTTGTTCTCCATCTTTAGTTATGTATACTGTACTCAACTTCCTGTTGGGAGTATGTTACACTTATACAGTACTGTACTTGAAGCTTCCTATCTAACTCATCCTTTTCTCTCACTGGCTGCTGTTAAGTGAGTAATCTGGAAAGGCATCTGGTCGGTCATAAATGGAAAATTGATCTTGGAATTCCATGTTATGACCAAGCACTGGATAGAGTGACTTGGCTATCTCCCTCGGGGTTCCTGCTGGGTTGGCTAGAAGTGAGGTGGTCTAGTAATCATGCTCTGGTCAAGGCTTTCTGTGCAGAGTGTATGTAATATTAAAGGTGTGTTGTCAAAACTCATTGTCTTAGCAGGAAACTGTTGCTTCTAATGCCTCTTCTTAAAGGCTTTGGTTGCAACAGAAGAGTAAAAATAGTCAATGGATTAGGTTCAGCCACAGTGGCTGAGGGTTTCCTTTGATTCCAGCCAGTACGTCTTGGTGCACATATTTCATAAGTTATACTTAGGCTTTGTCATAAATGGGATTTCAAAATCATTCTTCTATTTCTCTTTTAAAACTACACTAATTATTAAATCTGCCAAGCATGCTGTCCACTAATTACTGTACTTGATGCTACTTTAAAAATAATTGAATTTTGTAGATTAAAATCAGTCATGATTTTTGAAGAGTTGTTTAGAATAACATATAACATATTCAGGAACATAGCTTGAACTGTAGTTACTGATATATATATATATATATATATATATATATATATATATATATATATATATATATATATATATATATATATATATATATATATATATATATATATATATATATATATATATATATATATATATATATATATATATATATATATATATATATATATATATATATATATATATATATATATATATATATTCTTTTTGTAGCTTAAATAATATAATATTATTTTATCCACTAATATAATTTATGCTCAGATTTGCCAGAAAACTAAATTGTACAGTACCATTTTTAACTTAAATTAGTTGAAACATAGATTCATTGTTTCAGTTAAGCCAATGCTTTGCAGCCTAGAAAGTTTGAATGGCACTTATAAAAATATTAATACAGTGTAGCTTCATTTAACTAATAATACAGTATAAGCATGTGTTTTTGCATGCCACATTGGTTTTCTCTCATATCTACAAGTGTGGTAAATTAGCAAAGTTTTGCATTACTGTAACAGCACAACATCAATCTGAGTCAAGGTGTAGAAGATAATAAAGAGGATACAGTACAGTACAATGCACTTTCATTGACAGTGGCTGGACCACCAGTGGCAGTTTTTAATATTCAAACACAATTTATATACCAGTATGTTTACTGTACTATGTTCATTAATGCCGGGTAACTGGAAAATTAGAATAGATCCCAGTTTACGGCTGAGGTCCTTCACTCAGTCAGTTGGGAATTATGGTTTGTTAACCCATATTAATCCTTTAACATCATAGACTTGGAAATGGCAGTAAAACTGTGATGATGGTGATGATGATAACGATGGTAGTGGTGGTGATGATTCCCAGTCTATGATGGTTAGGTGTTAGTTTGGGTTTACAGCTATTGTGTAATTCCTGAGTTGCCTTGTTCTGGAGTCAACCATAACACTTACCTAAAGGTCAGGTTTTGCATTGGTATAGTACTGCCATTGGGTCCATGAGAGTATATTGATAGTACTGTACAGTACTGTACCTGTAGTAGGATAATGGTACTGTCAGGTAAGTGTTTTTGTTGCTTCACTGTTGATTTTTTGAATTACTGTGATTACTTTTTCTTTTTTCAGAATGGGGTAAGTTTGGAGTCACACCTACATACAATAATAGGATTTAAGTGCCTGAACCATCTCAGTCCTGTTAAGATGTCTTGATAACCTTCACATTCTCTTAATGTTAAAGGCAAACATCTCTAGTATAGTATTTAGACTGGTGTTAAGCACTAGTTAATGTTAGTAGGAAAAGTGCATTGTTAAAGTTGTATACAGTATTCGTTTATTTAGTTTACACATATGTGCAGGTATATAATTCTTTTTATTAGATATTACAGTACCTGTATCTTATTTATAATATCACCAGCAACAAATTATTATATTTCAAAACTTCGTTTAACAGAAAATTCAATGTACTGATATTCGGGATAATACTGAGCATGACAACAGCTACAGTACTGGTACATAGGGGCATTATTGTACTGATTCATTTTCTGACTCAGTTATACACTTGTAAATGGTACTTTTAAAATAATTTATTAATATTTTGTGAGACACTGGAATAATTGTCTTACTAATTTATGAATTAGGGGTTAATTTTTCCTCATTATATACGAGAAACATTATTAATCAATCCTTGTGGTTACTTAGTAAAATGGATAATTAATGCAACGACCAAAATAAAATAAATTATAAGTAGCTATTGTACCTAACATAACCCATTAAGGAGCTTGAGACAATACTGTAGTCATTAAGAGGGGCAACAAATGATGACCTGACACCTAATTCATCGTATATGCCTAAATTTCATCATGGTTTAAATCCCCAAATACTTTATCACTGTGAAGAAATTGTAGTAAAATAAATCTGGAGTAATTGATTTATTTTTTCATGTTTTTCGTTACTCAGTTTTCCACTGTCTAGAATAGGCAATGAACATCCCAAGAATTTTTTTTTGGGGGTGGGGGCATTAGCCCACCGGGCACAGGTAATGACCCACATCAGGGCCTGGGGGGCGAAAATATAATAATAAATAATAATTATTATAATACAGTAATAATAATAATTATAATAATAATAATAATAATAATAATAATAATAATAATAATAATATTCATAATAATAATAATAATATCTATTATTATTATTATAACAATTAATAAAATTAATAGCAAATTAATAAAAATAAAATAATAAAAATAATAAAAATAATAACCATAAATAAGTACTGTACAAAATTTAAAAAAATAAATTCAAGATTGAGAAATTATGTACATTATATATGTTGTGTTGTCCAAGTAAGAGAAACAATTGAGACCCTGCAATTGTGTGTAAATGAGGCAGAAAGTCATATCAGCAACCTGGGATTTGGTCACAATTTTCGTGATGCCATATGGCAGCAGGGTCTACCATTAGACAACACATTATGCTTCCAATATCTTCCCAGGCGGTAGTACCTCCCTGTTTGGTAGCTGCCTATCTACCTGCTACACTCCTTACCTCTAAGATACTTTTGGTCTTGACTGAACCAGGTTGTAGCAAAAGGTTTAAGGTACAGTATAAGCTAAATGCTTAGTTGTTACTTCATTAGCCTAAACAACACACCCGAGTAATTTTAGGAATATACGTGACTGTTTTACAGTTCAGAACGAATCGTGAGTAATTGAGTATATTCATGTACGGTGACATATTTTGAATAAAAAAAGAGATATGGAATGCTGTTCAAGTACACAGACTGTAAGTACAACTGATTTCTGTTTATCTGGACTTCACCTCCTTACCGTATATCCCATATCATCCTAGCCTATCTATTTAGTTTTGAGTTGGAATGTTCAGTTTTGTCCTTCATAGTCACACTGTATAACTTGGAAGTCAATGGTAAATGTAATGTACCGGTAATTATCACTTAGATATACAGAACAAAATTATGAATGAAATGAGAAACATTCATAATTATCAGAAAATATTGAACTTGGTTGCTTTATTGTGAGCAGCCTTGGATTTGTCAGTGCAAGATATTGGTGTAGAATATTGCAATTGCATGGCATGTACAGAGTCTTCAGGAGGATTGTTTGACTGAATACTCTAAGCAGTGGATGAATGTCTTATATGACCAGTAATTGCTATTGTTTACAGTGAAGGGACAGTGTACTGTAGTTGGTATGGTAATAAATTAAAAAAACTATGATTAAAGGGAGTTGAAGCTTGCATTGTCTACTGATAACGCCTAGTGAAGAACATGCTGCTGATGGGTGATGTGTGGACGTTTACAGCCTTGTTGTGCAAAGGGAGGACCATAGAAGAATACATCTATCACAGAAGTAAAAAGCTTGAAAGGGAAAAAGACAAAAACACAATTACTGTATTCTGAAAACTTCAAATTCTTGTCACCTGTGATAATGTACAGTTGCGGACAAAATTCCTGTCGCCTCTCCAGCTGTTCCACTAAACCCGAGATTCAGATTCGTGAATCAAAAGCATCTGTGGACAGAATAATACATCAGTATCTACTGCTTCAGCTTCACGAGTCTGAAACTCGGGCTTCGTGTAGCAGCAGGAGAGGTGTCAGGATTTTTGTTTGTGACAGTACATTACTGGAATCTTCTCCCCCTGCTTCCCTGCCCTTCATATTCAATGAAAGAGTAACCACATCCCTCTTATCGTCTAATGTTCATAACTCTTCATAAGGATTCCTTCATCATCGTAATATGGATCATATTTCTCAATTCTTTAAATCCTTCTATTTTCTTATATGTTATTGTTTTTCAACTTTTCATTTGCTGTCCATCCAATTTTTTATGATATATTTTCCTTGCATCCTATTTGTGCTTGGATTAGTTATCTTGTCCATCTGTCACTCACTCAGTCTTTATATCCACTTGTCTGTTTGTCTGAATATTTGTCTATATAACTTTAATAGATGGACTTTACTGAACTACAGTACATGTATTTTAGATTTAGTTTAGAGTTGAGGTTATGTCTTGAGCGTTCCATGATGTTTTGTGCATGTGTTAAGATGCCTGCCACCTGGAGGGGAATTCCATATAATTTTTTCAGGTTCATACCAGTTATTTACTGTGTAATCCAGCTGACTTGTATTTCCCCTCTGGTACATTCTTGTATATAAGTAATATGTGCAGTTGCTTGAGCACCATCTCTGTGTAATAGTTGCAGAAATGTTGGAAGCATTGGGTAATGTTTGCATGGCGTTGTGACCGAGATAACTAATGCACTTACGATGAATATATTGCTGTAGTGTCTTAACATTGTACATTACTATACTGTACTTTTGAATTGTAGATGAAAATTTAGGAGTGGATAAAAAAAAATTTAATTGATAAATAAACTTATTGAACACAGTAATTACAGTAATGATAAATCATGTAGAATTTATTGTTGGTTTTTAATACATTAGTGCAAGTGGGTTCCATAGGCATGACTGCCAGTTAGGGACAGTGTTGAAACAGCACTGTATAGTATGCTGAACTCAACCGTTGGCATAGTAAGCAATATGGCCGGCACTGGTCTCAACTCCCTCCACGTCCTTATCATGTAAAGTTAGGTGCCTATTTACAGCTGGGTGCACTGGGAGTGCTTCAGGACCAAACCATTAACCCCTAGAACAAGAGACAAGCAGTGTGGCCACTCAACCACTGCACTCCTATTTTTTATGCATACAGTAGTGTGAATCGATAAATGCATTGGTTTTAGTTTTTCTTGAATATTATTGCATGTGTTCTACTACTTAATAGAGTTAGGAGTGCAACAAAGCCAATAGGTCGTTGGATGTGGAATAGAAATTTATGATAAGGTTATAGAGATAGATAAGCTGTGGGATAGGTAGGTGTAGAGAGGTTGGAAATGGGAAATGGAGATGTAGATAGATAGCACATGGGATAAGAATATTGGATAGTGAGTGTGATGAGAGTATGATACTTATGATGTAATTACACTTTCTGTATGAACTGAAGAACAGTCACTATTATATAAATTTTTGTTTTGCATAAATAGTTGAGGTTCACAGTAATTCCGGCAAACTATTAGTATACTGTATGTGTCTCAAAAAGGGAAGCTTGTTAAGGAACTTAACTTCCACTGTCAGAAAAATTTAAGTGAAATAACAGTAATATAGAAATGTAGTGGTAAATGCTGATACAGTATAATAATTTATTTATCAGACAAAGAGAAAGATGGTGGTGGTGTTTTTTATACACCAATATTTAATGATTAAAAGAATATTTATAGCATTGCACCTCACTGTTCTCTTAGTTGATACAGTAGAGTAGTGTTGTGTTGTTCCTCTCTCTCACAGAGCCTACAGTCCGCTGCTACTATCCTCCTGAATGGAGCTGAACGCCTCCGCACGTCTCAGGCAGAAATGGGCCGACCAAATCGTACGGTGCAAGACTTCCACATCGAGCTGCTGAGGCTGAGGCAAAACTGGCGGTTGAAAAAAGTTGCCAAGACCATAATAGGAGACCTCTCATACCGATCTGCAGGCTCAATGTTCAGACATGTAAGTTTCTGTATGTTTCACCTTTGTTAAAAAGATTCTACAGTAGGAGTTTGGCAGTACTGTACAGTATTGTACTCTATTGTAGTAAAAACTTATTGAAAACAGTGAAGTTTACAGAATAACATCCAGGAAATTATTTAATGTACTGTATGAACTGAATATGTGTGTGTGTGTGTGCGTGTGTGCGTGCGCGCGTGTGTGCGTGCGCGAATGCGAAGTGCCGGCCATGCTGCCTTTCCACAAATCTTTGGCAGTCTTTGTTATTTGTCAAGGTTGTCATCCTGAAGAATCACTGATATTGAAGCCAAGTTTAATGTTATTTGTTGAAGATTGTAACATCAGAAATCACATTAAACTTTGAAATTTACTTTGAGTGAAGCTTTTTGAGGTTTAAAACAAATAAAAACATCAGAAATTGTATTAAATGTATCCCAATAACTGACAGACACATCATAGGCATATCTCTATTACTGTACAGTAGTACATATCTGTACTGTTTTTAAAATGAAGGTCTTGAAAAACATATTATTTGTTATACTGTTCTTCCTCTACAGACTGGCATATTTGAAGTCTCAAAAGCAGATGAAGGAGCAGGACCAAGTGCTGTGGTTGGCACAGGTTCAGCCTCTCCCATATCTCCCTTGCCCTCACGTGGTTTACAGTCGTCCCTGCGAGTCACTGTCCCAACGGAGCTGATGGGCTCTGCGTACATCTTTGTCTGCATCAAAAAAGGTTGGACAGTTTTTAATACTTAACTCTTTGTGCTAAATAAAATCATCAGGCATTAACCTGGTAGTGCTGTTGGTAAAATGTTGGAAATATTATTATGTTTATTATTGAATGGTGGAAAACATGACAGAATGAAATATGAACATGTTTTCTGGATGCTGTAGTTTTTAGAATAGAGGTCACAGTCTACAGTACTGTACTGTAGTAACATGTTAAAGATTTATTGTATTGAAGCTGGATGTTATCTAGTTAGTTGATAAATAATGCATGTGTTTAATGTACATTTATATTACATTTTAAAATACTTTATTTACCAATAACTAGATTACTGTATAAGATAAATTTCTGACAGTGTAAGATTTTTGTATACACTTGTGGTTAATGTATGGCTTTGCAATGATCAACTCAAAGAATAAAGACTACTGTACTGTACCATACCGTACCGTACCATACTGTACTGTACTGTACTGTACTGTACCATACCATACTGTACTGTACCATACTGTACTGTACTGTACCATACTGTACTGTACAGTACTGTACTGTACTGTACTGTACTGTACCATACTGTACTGTACTGTACCATACTGTACTGTGCCATACTGTACTGTACTGTATAGTAAATACTGTATAGTTAATATGGTGGATGTTATCATTGGATTTATCAATTAATTCTTTTTCATACTTTAGGAATCACCATTTCAGTTTGCTTTGTTCCCACTAATATTTGACCAATGATAACCTGTATACAGTATGTTCATCCTCATGACTGGATAACCTTTTAACTCTTCTATTCCTCAGATGAAGAAGACATCTGCTCTGCACAATTAAATAACTGTGATTTTGTAGCGGGAGACACCCCATGGCAACAAAAACTTGAGAAGGCTCAGAATGTGTTGTTTTGTAAAGAACTGTTCAGCCAGTTGGCCCGAGAAGCCGTCAAACTCACTCCCTCAATACCTCATCTTGTGGTTGGTAATCAAATTACTGCCACAATTTTCCCTGGAATCCATCTGCTGGTGGGATTGTGTCACTCTGATGGCAAGAAGTAAGTGTGAATGATTGTAAAATGTGTTTATTTTTATTTTACCAAGAAACCACTAGAGGTACAGTATGGTAGTGGATATATTATTACATAACTGTGCAGTGCAGTACTGTATTTAAGTTTAAATAGAAGATAAAGCTAAACACCAGTACAGTTGTTTTGAAATAGTGGCAGTAAATTGAGAGCCATATACAGTACAGTATTGCCATTGAAATATTATCTCAGGCAGGATACAGTATTGAGCTTTTCAAAAAGGTATTTTGTTCAAACATTATTCCTCCATTTTTATAAATGTTTAATCTGTCATTTATGTTTCATAGTCAATAATCAGTTCTCAACTTAAGACAACTTGAAAACCCTAGCCACATGTTATTTATATTTCTCTAATGTACTTAATTAATCTCCCCTTTAGTTGGAGAGAGTGTCCTATTATGAGAAGAATTCTTATTCTCCTTACACCATTACACTGACCTTCTCATGTGTATTTACTTATAATAAATGTATTTTAGGTATACTGTAGCATACACTGCACATATTTTTTACCTTGAACTGGTTATTATAGAACTATTTAGTATGCCTCTCAGTGGTCATTTCCCCAACACTTACTTCCAATTGGACTCAGCCTAACCAACTGTGGGGAAATTTTACAACATAAACCCCCCCCCCCCCTATTGGTTGGTGAGGATTACTCTATAGGCTGTGTTGAAAGAACAGATATCCTATTGATAAGTAATATGAAGGAGGTAATTTGTGAGTTTAGGGTAAAAAAATGGATGACATGTACTGTATATTAGAGGATGTGGAGACTTTACTAACAAATGAGCCTGTACTGTACTGTGTTAGTCATTATATTAAATCATACAAGCATCTTGGAAGGAATAGAGGTGAATGTATTTCCATTTTCCAGCAATGTACGCGGTAAACCCACTACTGGTCAGGGGCCCCCAGGTACTTGTGGGCCCACCAGCAATATGGTTGGGAGTGGTAGTGGAGTTAGCACTGGTACTGTTGGAGGAGGTCCCACTCCCTCTAAATACAAACATGAGCACGACTTGGAACATTCGCTCCACCAGTTGCTACATCGGGTCTACCACCATAGTTTTCAGCACCCACTGCCTCATCCTGTCTATGCCCCGATGGGCATGAGTAAACGCAGAAGGGCAGCCGGACCTGAGGGAATGGATAAGAATCAGGTTTGTTATTACAGTATTGTACAGTACAGTAGATATTTTTCTCACTTTTATTCTTTATTATATAATACTACTACAGATTTACAGTACATATTCTTTCATTCCATTTTGGTAGTACAGTATCACATTAAGAACACATGTAGTCACATATCTTCAACTTATTTTGAGTGAAACAAAATGAATCAGAACATCAACATTATCTGAACACATGATACAATATCTGGTTCATTTTATAAGGGAATTAATGTACAGTCTGCGCGGAATGTTAAGTCGCGATAGGGCCGACGAACTAAGTTCTCGCAAAAATAAGATCATATGTTGTGAAGCCTGTCCTGGGATGCGAGATGTCAAAACGCTTGGTTTGTTGGCAAGTGCTGACATTTGGCAACTGAGAACACGTCACGGCTTGTAGTCAGTGCGCCTCTGGCAGCTGTGAGGGGAAGATTTTTTGTGCGGGTTCTCGCGCCATGTGGCCATGTTTTGTCTAGTTTAAGGTGCATTAACCCGACATAGTGGCCATCAGAGATCTCCAGGAGGGTTGCTACAAGAGACGATATTGCAGCAGTGATTGCATTGTACAAAGCGAACCATGTACTGAGAGAAATATCGGCTCAGACTGGTGTGGCATTACAAGTTGTTCAAAATCTTGTCAAACGTTTCTGTGACCTTGGAGAGGACGAGTTACCAGCTCCATTACTTAAGTCTGGTAGGCCTAAATTATTGTCTCCACGGACACTTAAGGTTATTTCTCGACAAGTTCGAGCCAATCCCTCGCTCACAGCACGTGAAGTGAAAGAGAGAAACCCCCGTCTTTTGAGTCACGTCTCGTTAAGTTGTGTTCAACAAGCCCTGCACAATGACCTGGGATTTAAGAGCTTTCATGCCCGCCGTAAACCTCTGATGACAAAGAGACAGAAGGAAAATAGAGTGAAATTTTGCAAGAAATATGAAGTGTGGGATTTAGAGACATGGAGGAGTGTATTATGGTCGGATGAGGCTACGTTTTCTGTGACTGGGAGTAATAGAGGGAGGGTGTACCACCCCCCCACTCAGACGCGCACCTCCCACAATACACTGTAAAGACTGTTTAGCACCCTGCCTCGCTTATGGTTTGGGCTTCCTTTACGTATTATGGTGTTGGTGAACGAGTAATTCTCCCTAAGAACCAGATGATGAATCAGTACAACTATCTTGAACTGCTCAGTGATTTCTTACCTGAATCATTTGATAAAGCTAAGGCAAGCCTTTTCATGCAGGACGGTGCCCCATGCCACACTGCTAAAAGTATCATACAGTGGCTCAAAGACTGTGAGGTACCTTTCTTTAATGACTGGCCTGGCAGTAGCCAAGATCTTAACCCAATAGAAAATTTGTGGTCCATTATTAAGCGTCGTTTGCGCGACGCTGACACATCATCAATCCCGAAGCTAGAGGCAGCCATCGAGGATACCTGGGCTAACTTGCCACCTGACCTCTTGCAAAACCTTGCTGACAGTGTTCCTCGAAGGCTAAAAGACTGTCTGAAGCGCAGAGGAAACACTACAAAGTATTAATTGAAGTGGCAAGTGTTACTTGACTTTATTTATATCACATAATCGTAAATATCAATATTTTTTCAGCACACGAACTAACATTCCGCGCAGACGGTATGTGTCAGATTTTTTGGTCACCCTTTACTTTAACCATTTTCATACATGGTGTTCCTTCACTGAGCACATCTCTTGTAAATCCCTTGACAAACTATTGAATTATTTTATACCCTCAGCTGTTACCAACTCAAACCATCTCTTTCTGTAGCCTACTTCTTCCCCTCCTACCTGACAACTAATACAGTACAGTATATTGTTTTAATTTCCCTGTAATATATTGACACTAGTACAGTACTGTATTTTAGAAAACATTCAACTTGACGCTTGGCACTTTTACGCTCATCTGCATAGTATATACTGTACTGTATCCAGACTACGATACTTAAACAGCATTTATGTAACAAATTAGAATCTGTTTAATAATTGTATGAAAAACTCAAGTTTTCTTAGGAATATTTTATACAAAATATCTGTCTTAGATAAAATAAATTTTTACAATCTTTAATAATTTTATCTTTTGGATTATCTGATTAATTTTCCCAAGCTGTTGGATTAATTTTTGCTAGTTAAGTACAGTACTGCATCCTCTTTATTTTATAATGTGTTAAGTCACTTTTTTTTTGTAATCCACAGATGATCAGCTTAATGAAGGATCAGACATTGTTGGAACAAATAATACGACAAGTGCAACACAACTTTCTGAGACTAAGGACCATGTATGTGATTGACCAATTGGCTGCTGAGTTTAAAGACCCATTAATTGTCTCTCATTGGAATGCTTTCAATTCACCGACCCAATCCTGTGTAAAGATCAACATAGTCACCCAGGGGTACGACACTGTATTACGAACCAAGTTAGTGATTCACATCTTCGAAAGAACATTAAAGTGTATTTGTAGGGACGGTAAAATCATGACCATGTCCTTCGAACCTCAAGAACTCAGAAATCTGATACTTTGCCAAATCTCTCAGCACAATATGGCTGCCTTACAAGTTCTGGCTAAATACACTGGCTGGACTCTCCTGTCATCCGAGCAAAATATTGGAACTGGTGCCATAGAACCACTCGGTAATGCTTCAACCGTCATGCTGGCCTCACCCTCAGGAAACAAGGTTATTGGAGTCCATTCAGGCCCTCATCAACGCGTGTCCGTTTACGTGTCCTCATCACCCCGTCCAGACTTCTACCCGTCAACGGTGGTGATGGAACAGAGATGGGAACACCTTGGATCCAATTGGCAGGAAGTAAGACTCGATCGGATGGAGGGACGAAACTTCTTGAACAAGATGGAGCTCCTTATGGCGGCCCTCACTGCTTGAGACTATCTGATCTAGAGGAATAAGTTACTTCCTCATATTGAGAATGTAACCTATGGGTGATATTCCTGTACATTGTTGTGTTTACTTACAGTACATTGAAATTGGTACAGATAGTGGATTTGGCCGTGCAATTAGGGTTGATGGGATGGATAATGGTAGAGATATTAATGAGTAAAATTTACTGTAGGAGGGGCAGGGAAAGGCAGAGACGGGGATGGTTGAATAAAAAGAAAACCTGATTCCTTAGAGATTCAAAATTTAGAAGGATTGATCAGGACAGCCTGAGAATTCTGGAGTGGAAGAGCCTGGTGGCCAGCCTTCACACATGAGGATAGAAGTACAGTACCTTGATTCATTGAGTTTGGAATTCAGAATAAAAGCTGTCAAGTTATTAAAGTAGGAAACTGATGCAAGAAATACAAATTGTTTATTTTCTCAGACCATTAGATTTACTGTATTGTACCATTGCAGTGTATTTTCAAGACTTCCAAAGTATTGATATCTAGTTTGGCTTTTGAAGCGTTGTATGTATATTTTCTTTTCAGTTTAAATAAAGGAAAATGGAAAATTCTAAAAGAAGCTAAATGTAAAAATTATTCCTGTGTTCCTTAACTTTTTGTTTACCCGGTATAGCCGAATCTCAGTTCAAGGTGACCCAGGTATTGTGCCCGTGAAGTCTGTGTGACGACTGATGCTGATAAGGAATTTAGTACCTCTCCTCTCTTGTAACCATTGCCTTGAAAAATGCAGGTTTGAAGTAAGTTATAACAAGGGGCTGTGGAGTGGTAATCGCTTCTTTTTTTTTTTACAATAAAATTATTATCTATATTTATTGAATTAGGTTGAAACAAATTACATTTCTCTTCAGAAACTTGCTACTTTAGATACACAAAAATTGTGACCAAGTCCCAGGTTGCTGATCTGACTTTCTGCCTCATTTACACACAATTGCAGCATCTCTATTGTTACTCTTACTATTAACAACACAACATACATATATCATTTCTCACTATTGATATTTTCATTTTTTGTTTTTGTATTTATTCATGGCTCTTTATTATTACAGGGGGTATTATTATTATTATTATTATTTATAATTTTTATAAACTTTTATTATTACTGTATTTGTATTTTCTTTTATTACCGGGAATAATTATTTATTTTTAAATATTGTTATTAATTTTATTATTATTTTTATTATTATTATTATTATTATTATTTTCTTTTATTATAATTGTTATTTATTAAATATATTTATATTAATTTTATTACTATTATTATTATTACCATTGTCATCATCATCATCATAATAATAATAATAATTATTATTATTATTATTATTATTATTTTATTATATTATATTTTCGCCCCCCAGGCCTTGATGTGGGTCATTAAAAATGAGCCGTGCCCGGGTGGGATAATGCCCTTAAAAAAAAAAAAGACAGTGACAGGCAGACAGACAAATTCATCTACAAAGACTTGTGCATCCAGACTTGTCAATTGATCTTGATACATGACATATCAGGTTATTTAAACATAATCTGAGACGTGGTAGAGTACAGCCAGGTCTTTAAGAAATGAATGTCAGAATCAATTAAATATATACACCAAAATTAACTAGAAATATAATCTATACAAATTGGGATAAAAAAGAATTTGTAAATATTTCACAATTCATTGGAACGCTATAATGCAGGTTCGTGCCTTTATGAATTGTAAGCCAAACTTTTGAGCAGATTTTTAATACACAATTTTTTTAATAATTGACACTAGACTACTCATTTATATCAGTATTATTTTATTTCACATCGAAAACTTCTTGACGTATTTATTTTACTTCATTATTATCCTAATTTATTTATTTTTTGATCCTAAGAGAACCGTCAAGTTTTCCCGCCAAAGTGATCAGTTAGTCACCCTCGGTTGGTGACATGACAGACGAGGTTTGTCACAATCTCTGGCCTTGAGTGACCATATTTAGTTATTTTAGTCTTAATAGTTTATATTTTTAATGTGAAAGTGTTTCGAATGCGCTGACATTCCGTTTTACTTCAGTGAGTGTGAACTTTGTGAAGATATAGTGACAACAGCTTCTGAGGCCGAAGTAGGATCACAGGCAAGTAATACTAGCACGTAACTTCCCGTCCGACTAATTACCCAAATGTAGCCGGAATGAAGTCAAATGATGGTCGTACATGAATAAATCGGACTGCTAATCACTTCTCGACTAGTATTTGGTGTCAGAAAGTCACAAAAAATTGGTAAACTTAATTTAATCTGAGTTAATAGATCGAGTGCATGTACCTAACCTAATCTAACCTAACACAACTCGGATTAAATTAAGTTTACCAATTTTTTTTTACTTTATGACACCAAATAATAATCGAGAAGTGATTCACAGCCCGAATTACGCTTGTACGACCATCATTTGACTTCATTGCGGCTACATTTGGGTAATTAGTCGGACCGCTCCACGACCCCTGACGGACACGATGATCCTCCCCATACTGGCCAGATATTTTGTAAATAATATTGATTATGTGTTAAAGGAATATACTTCCTTCCTTAGGCTTTAGTAAGCCCCTTTATAATATTTATACTGTATATACTTGTCACACTTGCCAGATGCTTCTAGTGTCATTGTACAGGGGTACCTAGTGACAGCACGAGGATCCAGCTTCCTCTATCAAGGAATAAACAATTGAAATTGAAATTGATGTTACGCACTGTTGGCAAGTTGGTGCGGTCTACGAAGGTATCCTTAGACTAACGTAACCTAACCTAATCCAACCTAACCTGACCAAACCTAAGCTAAATTAACCTAAATATTTTGTAGACCGGCAAGTAATATACACTGGGCATGTACGGGCTCTTGAGCGAGACCCCTCCCCTCCATCACCCTCTCGATCTCGTTGCCCGGCGTTATTCTTGCCGACGAATTAGGCACAGGATTTCTTGCGATATTCCTTCTGCCTTGGTTAGGTTAGGTTAGGTTTGTCGCACTGTAATGAATATCACATGGTAACGGGCGACATAACTTCCTGGCAAAATTTGAGCTTGCGCGTATTACAGCAGACGTCGCCCATGCCTGTAGTCTGAAGCGACCGGTTGCTTATGTTAAATAAATACAAGACGCTCTTGTATCAGTGAAGGTTATACCTGGCAGACGGTGTAGGGCGATCCATGTGGCTGTGTTGTATTGCCACATAACTTACCAGAACTGTACCTGAACATGCGGCAATGTTGGTCAAGTCTGGTCTTAAATGAGCTCGTGCTTGGATACAGTACAGTAATTGGTACCGATGACAAGACTATTTCTCGTGTTATAGCTCCCTCTGGGACACGCTTTGCTGCACGTTCCACCAAGTTTATACTTACACTACTTTACCTATTATCAAAAGTATAAATATTGGAGTAAATTTTCTAAAAGAAATATGTTATATAACGAAATTTTTTTTTTTTTGGGGGGGGGGCACTCCCCTACATCCTTGTGTAAGGTGAAGCGCAGAAGCGTTTACAGTGCCCAACAGGGAAGCGTAGAAGCCTGAAGAGTCAATGGTTTTTATGTCAAGTTATTGGAAGCTTCAACAACTTGTCCCAGAATACGAATTCGCAACTTTCGACTTACATCAGGTACCTACTTTACTGCTAGGTGAACAGGGACTAATGGGGGCTAGGAAGTATGTCCAAACAACTTCCACCGGCCCGGGAATCGAACCCATGACATCTCGCTCGCGAAAGCAAGAGTGGTACCACTCTACCACCAGCACCCCCAACGAAATTATTGTATTATCACTATGGGGAGTTATGTCACGGAGGGAACCATTTCATGTAGGCGTAACGAAATACTGTACACCAGGACCCTGCTGTACACTTCAAGTCCAAACTCGGATATGCACAAAATGTTTCTCCGGTAACTGTATCACGGAGGACAAATACCGGAGTAACCTGTTTGATTTTATATGATTTGAATTTATTTAATAAAGATACATGGTAGTCAACTCTATTACAACACTGGCAGATTATTCCAAGAGTTATCAACTTGTACTCCAAAGAAATTAACTCTGACAATTCTCTGAACCTGGGGCTTCTTTAACGTGAGGCTGTGACTTCCAGTGGGTTGGTTATCTTACCTAACTTCAGCCAAGAAACTCATACCGTTTATAACATTTAATTTTCATACATGTCATAGCAGGTTCTAGGAGATTTTGTCACCCGTTTAGTTTAAGCCCAACTTAACCTAAACTAACCATTGCTTCATCTCCTTCAAAATAAAGACATAGTTATTTGAAATCAATAAATATAACACGGTATTCAAGGCAAATTGGAAATCTAATTTTTATGCAATATCGTTCTTCCACATTCTGAAGTGCCCACCTGAAAATTAAAACATCATTAACTCACGTCTTTTCCAAACATATCGCAATCATACAGAACACACGGGGCTTACATTCACCTCTTATTGCACAGTTCAGGTATCTTAATCTTACCTTTCCATCGCGTACTAGGTGAGATTAGCTTGGGTATGGGTCACCTATCAGTAATATTGGTCTTCAGAGGACACAGTCATTAATGCTAACCTTAATCCAGCACAGTTAAAAGAAATTTGTTTTCCATTGCCTTAATTGTTTTCCTGATAATGTAACGAGCGATATCAGGGAAGCGTAAATTATCGTTTGTGAAGCGAAAGAATTTCAGCGACTTAACACTTTGTTCATGGACAGTCTTGCAAGATACCAAGTTGCATTTTTTCTGAGAGGACTTGTATATATCGTCGACAACAGGACCCAGGGCGAAGAGGTGGCATCTGACCGTGGGATGATACAAGTGTTATAAACTATACACTCGCTAAAACTTAAGGTTCACTGACAAAAAAATCACAGAACATAAATGTGGAGCTACGTTGATAGTGAAAGTATGATGGTAGGCTGAAGCGTGTGGGGGTGCCCATAGTCGTGTAGTATGGCAGGTTACCACGCGAGGACTAAAGGTCAACTAGTTAATGTGCTAACCATCTAATAGGTTAAAGTATGGGTAATGGTCAGGCTTATATAGTAACAACCTGATTCATATGAGTCAAATAGGTTGAGTGTGGATTATGGTCAGTAGTTAAGGTGGTGATCATCCGAGACTATAGCGGGTTAAGATGGATGGTGGGCAGTAATTAAGGCAGTAACCACCTGAGACTATAGCAGGTTAGCATGGGTCGTAGAAGCGTTAACAGTAGGCGGAGGAGCGCGGGAGGGCGAGGTGCGGTAGTAGCGTAGTGCTCAGTGAGAGTCGTGGTCCTGGGGAGACCGGACGCACTCTCTGGTCTGCCGTCGCTTGTCTGAGTGAGGCACCACGTTCCTCCCGCTGTCGTAGGCTGCTAACTTCCTCTAGGCCCTCGTGCCACATGTTAGCTGCTGGATTTCTGCCACAGTGATGACTCGGTGCCGTGACACATGCACACCAAACTTTTCAAACATTTTCGAAGTTTGACGGGGCTTGTTTATCGCTTTATTTGTGTTATCTTATAGATAAAATAAATAATAATAATAATAATAATAATAATAATAATATTATTATTATTATTACTA